ATCCCTGAGCCAGTCTGGGGCCCGGCCTAGGAGTCGGCACACTCCTGATCAGTCCTGCTGTTCAACACTGGAGAGCCCCAGGGCCCCCTAGACCCCCGCCGGCCTCAGTGCCACCCCGTATGTGCCCACTACTCTTCCCCACTAGGCTGGCTTAGGACACAGTGACATCATCTCACTCATGGATTCTGGCCCCATCTTGGGAGGATGCCATCAGAGTGGGGCAAGTCCAGAGCCTCAGGGACACTGTGGCCTGGGCCAGGAAGCTGCTGGTCCAGCTACTGCAGATGCAGGCCCCTGAGGTGCGGGGCAGAAAGGCTACACTGGTTCCATCTATGAGAGCATGGCACAAGTGCCAGGGCAAGGGCACTGACTTCTCGCTTCCAGACCTGCTTTCCATGCAGCTTGCGCTCCCCTGGGCCCACACTGCAAAGGCTTCAGGCCCTGCTGCTGCCCTGCATCCTCCTGCCCCAGCCTCCATTCAGTGGGGTTGTTGGGGGCACCCCCCTATCCTGCCTCCAGGCAGAGAGTCTCACTGGGGTGTCAGGCTGCAGGCCTGCGAGACTGTCCTGGGGGTCCCAGAGCACTCAGCCAACTTCGGTCCACGTGTGTGACCCGAGGTCTTGGCCCCATCCCCTCTCTGCCCCATTCCTGGAACCTGAGGGTCCCCTGGGCCCAGCAGACACGGAGCTGAGCTCCTGCCCAACTCTGGTTGGGGCTGTGGCCTGCAGCCCAGGCCAGCCCCTTGCACCCCAGGTGTAGTCTCGGTGCTGGGGTCACCTTCCTCAGCAGCTGCGGTCCCCGCCCAGTGCCCCCACTCGTCCCACACTGCATAGCTCACGTTGTGCAGAGGTGTCTCCATCTGGAACCCGGGGCCCAAACCGAGTCTCCAAAGCCCCTCCCCAGCTGCCCTGGGGGTGAGTACTGCAGGTTAGCATCCTCTCTGCTGGTGACCAGGAACCCTGGCCCCTGTGAGCCAAGGGCAAGAAGCAGAAGGGAGCTGGGAGTGGCGCTCGCAGTACTGGTGTGTGGCATAGTGCTCGAGGGTCCCCTTCGCTGGAGCTGGCACATGGACGGCTCACATCTCAGATCTTTCTGTTCCCCATTCCGCTCCACATTTTTTTAAAAAAATAAATCCATTTTACCAAAATCATTCACACAGAACATAAGACATTGCATTCAGTTGTCTGAACAATACCAGCACAAATCTTCCTCTTCAGTGGTCTCAGAAAAATCAGTAGTGTAACTTAACTAATTTTATTATACGTACACACACAAACATATGCTTGTTGACAACACGGTGTTTACATGAGTCTGATTTATTTCACTTATGAGTGTGGTCCCAAGTTGCATCCATTTACCCATAAAAGTCTCCAGTTTTAGCCTTCTGTGTGGTGGAGTAGTACTCCATTGTATAAAAATACATTTTTTTAATCCATTCCTCAGTTGATGGGCATTTGAACTCTTTCCAAGCTATTACAAATTGTGCAGCTATAAACATGGGTGCACATATATTGTGTGTGTTATGTTTCTCATTCTTTTGGAAAGATAACCAAAAGGGGAATAGCTGGGTCAAATGGGACCTCTAGTCCTAGTGTTTGGAAGAATCTCCACACTGATTTCCACAGTGGTTGCACCAGTCTACACTCCCACCAACAGTAGATAAGGGTTCCTTTTGCCCTGCAGCCCCTCCAGCATTTGTCATCCGTTGGTTTCTTGATGACAGCCATTCTTTCCTGGCTGAGATGGCATCTCAGTGTTTTGCATCTCTCAGTAATTTGCATCTCTCAAATGACCAGTGATGTTGAACATTTCTTCACATATCCATTTGCTGTTTATGTTTCTTCATCTGAAAAGTGTGCTTTCATCTCTGATGCTGGGTTTCAGGTGCCATCCCCTTCTCTTAGTCCCCTTCCCCTCTGCAGAAGCTCTGCCCGTCTCCTGTGATCCAGCTTTTATTAGCTCTGTGCACGTTGGGTTCTCATGTAGGAAAAACCATGTGCCCTTGAAGCTTGTGTGAACTTAACCGTGTGGCCCTAAGCTGCATCCATTTTCCCACCAGTGACTTGGATTTGTCCTCCCGGGTGGTGGAGTAGCGCTCTGTGATTTACGCTTCCGGCGGTGGCCTCACATGTGTCGTCATGGCCGTATGGAAGCCTTCCAGAGGGCTTCATTGTGTGGTGCCCTTGGTTCCCTGACCCCAGGACAGCCTGGGCCTCCAGCTGACTCGGAGGCACCTGAGCTTTGCATTTCGTGTCCAGTGGATGGCCATCCCCTTCTGGCACTTTGTCTGATGACATCACCGTGGTCACATCCTGGCCGTTGTCCTTGGACCCTGCTCTTCATGGTTGTGTCTGACTGGGAGGAGCCATGTCACTGTGCCTCTGTGCAGTTTTCCTGCTGGGTGTCCCAGACTGCTGCCAGGAGTCACCACACTCTAGCAGACAGGCGTGGGCCAAGCGTGGGCTTGGCACGACTACTGGTCAGCAGGCAGACTCCAGGAAGCAAGAGCCTTACCACTTCCTGTCCCAGAGCACTGGGTCCCCATGTGAGAGTCAGGAGAGGCACTGTGTCCTGGGTTCTGTGGGGCCCTGCTTAGCATTGAGCCTTAGGATGGCTGCTTGCTCCTGACACCATGGCAGGCAACAGTTGGCCCAGTTGGTCCCAGTCAGTTCCAGTGGGGTCAGCTGCTGGTGTCCTGCAGGAATTCAGACCAGGCCAGGCTTCCTGCAAGGTGGCCCTGTGTCAGCCCAAGCTGTGTCCTGCTGAGCAGGAGACCCATTTATTTCTTTCACGCTGTCTCCTTCCCGGCTCCCCCATGCAGGCAAAACTTGCTTCCTGCCGTTGTCGTGAGAGTGAGGGTGAGACTGAGACTCTCTGTTTGCACTGGCTGTCACCAGCGCTGCTCTCAGCTCCTGGAGGCTGCCCGCCGGGTAGCCCCTACCTGGCAGCTCAGCTTTGTCAAGGCCATCCGAGAGTCTCTGCCCACTGCACCCTCTGTGCCCTCGCCTGGCTGGGGCAGACCCACCAAGCATGCACGAAGTGTCAGGCGTCCATGTCCTCTATCACGGCTGTACCCACGCTCCTGCAGAGGGGCTGAGTGAGGCATGAACACGGGGGGAATCTCGGGGAGCCTTGTGGAATTCTGCCAGCCGCATCCTCTCCCTCTACCATCTGCAGCCCCCATCCTCCTTCCACAGCCCTCCACTTTGTTCACCCTGGCTGCTGAGCCAAGGCTGCTGCTCCACTTTGCCTGGTGCAGGCAACCTGCACTCCTTGCCGGCCTCTCCAGAGACTTTGTTACTGGCCAGCAGGTTGTCTGGTGATGTTGCTGTACTTCTGTCCTGGTTGATGTCCCTTGGACCCTGCTGCCCTGAGGTTCCTGGCCACCTCTCTGAGAGGAGCTGTGTGTCTTCTACTCCAAGGAGGGCAGGCAGTTGTGCTTTGTGTGACCTTAACCACTGTGCTGGCCCACGCCAGAGGTCGGGGCATCCCGTGCCCTTCCTCCCTTCTCCAGCTGTGGGGCCTTTCATGGACCCAGGAGGCCTTTTCAGGGTATAACCAGTCTAGAAACCCACGGCAGTGGAGAATGTTATAGAATAAGTTTCCCAGGGGGACCTCAGCAAGCTCATCCCAAGATAGGCTGGCCAGCTGTGGTCACCACTCCCTACAGATCAGCATGTAGAGATCATTTTGTAACACAGCTCATGGATAAGCAGGAGGCAGGCCTTGGAGACCCTGGGCCCAGCCATCTGTCCCCTCTCCTGGGCTGCTGGTGTCCCTGAAGTACCGGTATGAGGTCAGTTACTGGGAGCACCAAGCATCTAGCAGCTACAAACCCACAAAGAGCTTACATGGCAGGAAGGGGCAGCTGATCCATACTGGAAAACCTGCCACGTGCAATAGGCTAAGCATAGACTTGATTACAGGTGAGACCATGTGCAGGTGCCAGTGTTGGCAGCAGTGCCCGCAGCAGGCATGGCAAGTGCTTTCCACAGAAGTAGGCAGCCGCACCCCAAGAGCTTTTTCAGCGAGGCTCTGGCCCTGACTTCCCAGACCATCTGTTCCCGGCCATGAAGGTTCATCAGTCGGAGTTGTTTGCTGTCCTGTGACAAAGTCAGAGAGGCCATTTATGTTGGTCAGAAGCAGTAATGATTTAAGCAGAGCGAGCTCTGGGGAGAGGAGAACTGCACCTCACCTGCACGGGTGTTGGGCTCTCGAAAGGGACAGGGTAGAAGGAGATCCCAAGATGGGACAGATTCAGGACCCCCCTGCCTGAAGGAATGCAACTGGGCCTGACTTCAGGCTGGACCTCCTGGTTCCGTCCACTCCACCAGGCTGAGGAGAGGTGGGGAGCATGAGGTCCTGGGCTGTTATTAAGCCCAGGGGCACTGTTATTTTACTGTGGTCAACCTGATAGCCACTGAGTGACCAATGGGCAAGTTGTGTGCCTGGCATGGGTGTGCTGGGAACAGAGTTAATTTACACCCTGAGCTGGCTGGAACAGGATAGCATGAGCATTTGTCATGCTATGCCAAATGGTCTACAGTGTAAGATTTAGGAATCGCACCTGGGTGTGACAGTGACACCCGGAATCCAGCATTGTGGGATTGGGCTGAGGCAGGATGATCACAAGTTCTGGCTCAGCCTGGACTTTGTAAGACCCTTTCTTAAGCAAACCAAGGAATGAATGAATGAATGAATGAATGGGGCGAGGGATGCACAGTGCAAAAACCCTGGGTCAATCCCCAGTATTAAAAAAATATGCAACTCTGAAATTTTCCCTGTAATGTTTTTGGACCTCCTTGGGCCCCAGATAACTGCAGCCCTGGAGGAGAAGCCTGGATGGGGCTTCTGTGCGCTGGTCACTGCCAGTCTGCTTCCTGATGACCCTATCAGTTCCCTCGAGCCTGTGATTCATAGCTGAGTTATGAAACTCTGAACAGGACTTTCTCCCCAGCGTGATGAGCCTGGTCTCTAATCAGATTTCCGGTCTGTTGCAGGCGGAGGCCCGGCTTGCAGCAAAGCGCGCGGCCCGTGCTGAGGCCCGAGAGATCCGCATGAAGGAGCTGGAGCGGCAGCAGAAGGAGGTAACACCAGGGTCTTGGCTGCTCCCCACAGGGCGGTTTTAATTTTAGGCACGGCCTGGACTCACACAGGCACCTGTTGCCACTGATGCACCTGTCCCGGTCACATGGCCGGGGCTGGAATTCGCCTTTGCGTGTGGCTGATGCCTGAGGTCAGGCCAGGGGTACATATAGCAGGGGTGCCAGGCCTCCCTACGCCCCACCCCACTGCCATGGGCGCTGGGAGACCTCCCCAGGCCTGCTTCCTGGTAATGAGCCCAAGGAGCCAGCTGTGATCTTCAAGGTCTCACTGTGGAACCAGGGACTCAGCAGAGCCTCTGGATTAGGTCGAACAAGGACAGATTGCTGTTGGCTGAAAGGGCCAGGCTTGTTTGGCTTAGGCTCCTGCAAGGTTTCTATGCATTGGGCTGTGTCCAGAGGGTAGCATGAGCATCCTGGGTGAGCAGCCCGAAGAACTTGCTTCAGGGGTGGGAACTGTGTACACCCCTGTTCCTGCCCTTTCTGTTGTCATGCAGGGGCTAGAGGGCCCCGGGAGGCCATTCTGAGGAATCTGGGCTCTGGAGCTGACTCTGGGGTGCTGAGGTTTGCCCTGTAAGACAGCAAGGACTGGGGGACACCTCAATCCTATGCTGGCCAGGACCTAGGAGCTGGGAGCCACCTTTGGGCTCTCACCCAAGGCCCCTCCCTGCCTGTGAGATCCGAGGTCCTGCTCCCCACACCCAGGCTCTGGTTCTGCTCCTTCTGAGGAGTGAGTGTTCCTTACAGAGCCAGCTAAAAAGCATTGAGTCCTCTCCTCACTGTTTGGGTAGAAACGATTGACACACACGCTGATGACACCTCCTGCAGAGAGCTCCCTATGAAAGTTAGGGGTCTGAGCCGGCATTTGCGCCAGAGAGCAGCAAGGGATGTTGCCTTTGTCCCTTTCTGGGTGGGGGGATACCGTGCCTTGGAAACCAAATGTCCTCCTGGTGCTGGACTCGAGATGCCATCTGCCAAACCTAAGACAAAGCCATGCAGAAGAGGCAGCAGCCGCTCGCCTGGCTACTACTCGTGGACTCTGGTCCAGGAGCCCGAATTCTGTGTGCAAATCTGGGGAGATGGGAGGAGCCGCTGCCAGCCCCAGCACCTCCACAGTGTGCCTTGCCCTGCCTCTCTGGCCTGCTATTCTTAGAACAGGCCAAACAGTTTGCGCTGGTAGCATCTGATAGCCCGGGGCACTGGCATTTTAAGTTGTTGATTAAGGGGAAATGAATACACTCAGCTCTGGGAGGCCCTGTGGATCAGGGTGGAGGTTTGGATGTAAACATTTTTGAACATCACAGACCCTGTTTGCACCTGCGCACAGGTGCTGCTGGTCTGAAGACACCCAGAGGAGCCGAGGCTGGCGTCCAGGGGGAGAGCCTGCAGAGTGCAGAGTGGAGAGATAGTGTGGCTGCCCATGGTCTTGGGTCACACACTCTTCTGTGTCGGGGTGAGAGCGGGACTCTGGTGGCTTCCCGTGGAGGCTTAGCGTGGCTAACTCGGTGCCAGACGAGTGAAGAAATGACTGATTCCTTCAACAGGACTTAAGACATTCTGATTAATTTTCAATCAGTTCTCATTTTTTTTTCTCAGAATGGCTCATAATTCATTTCTGGTTACTTGCAGAACCTTTCCGATGTTCCTGCTGCTTTAATCCGATTTCTGTTTCTTTCCCTTTTTCCGTGTCCCTGTCTCTGTAGATCTATCAGGTTCAAAAGGTAGGCTTCCCTCTTTGCTTTCTGATTTGCATGGCTTGATCCCCCATGCCACCCCCAGAGCCTGGCCCCTTTTCAGAATTAACTCCTCTCCCTGCTCCCCTCCTGCACGGTGGTGAGTGTGTCTGGCAAGGCTGCGTGCGGTCTTCACGTCCACCCATGGGGAGCAGAGGTCGCACATTTTTCCGACTTTCATCCTCATTTTCCATTTTCCTCAAGGTCTTAGAAAGTAGTCTGCAAAAAAAAAGAAACAAAAACAAACACATTTTAGAACTCAAGGAATCTTTTGAAATCATATATTGAATGAAAAAGATTATCTTTCTTGGTAGCTTTCTTAGAAAAATTATCACACGTTCAGAGATTGTTAAGATACTGGTTTTAAAATCTAGGTAAAAAGGAAAATGAAGATGTAATAGTCAGACCCACCAGGTTAAGATACACCTGCCCTCTGCCGCCAGCGTCCGAATTTTGTAGGGTATCAGGTGCCTCTGTCTCAGGCTGGGGACTCCCCTCAGGCCGGGCACAGGAGTTTCTAAGGAAGCTGGGTCTGGGATGAGGGGTTTAGCAATAATGAGGTAGGGAGAGACCAGCTTCCTGAGGATTTAGGAAATGGGGTACAGTGAGCCCTGCCCATTGTGACCGTCATGGATTTCTGTGTGAATTCATTTAGTGTCAAAGTAAAGAACTACCCTGTTCTCTTAGGGCACAGAAACTGGTCCCTGAGTCTCAGCATTGAGAGGAGCAGGCCTCTGGGACTCTGACCCTCAGGGAGAGGGGTTTCCATGTTCTGCACCGGTTCTGAATCATCCCCATCCCATCACTGTTCTGATTGGGCCAGGACCTCAGACACAGGCTGGCAGACACAGGCTCTGTCTCCACTGTTAGTTTCTAGGGCCCAAGTCCTGAACCTGTAACTGGGTTTTAAGTCTTCCCTGGAGTCCAGCAGAACCTGTCAGGTCCAAGGCTGACAGGGTACCCTCCCCGGCCCCTCAGGGCATAACGTTGCTGTCCCGACCTCTGAAAGGGCTCGGGCTGTCGTTTTCAGTGGCATCCACTCCCTTCTTTTCCCAATCCCCGTCGGGTTCCTGTTTCTGTTCACGGGCAGTGGTGAGGACTGTCAGGCTGTAACCTCTCGCAGCACAGAGGGCCAGAGCCCTGGGAACCCACGGCACGGGGCCGCCAGAGTCACACCATGTGCAGCCCTCCTCTGACAACAGTGCCCCCCTCTAGCATCTGAGCTGTTTCTGAAAGCCAGGCACCTCCTGGGCTGGCCTGGCTCCTGCTTCTGCTGCATGGCCCACTGCCAAGCACCCACTGCACGCCTTGAGACCTCTGCTGCTTACCTGCAGCCACCCTCCGTGGCACCTGCGGCCCCCAGCACGTCCTCCCCAGTGGGGCAACTTGGGCCACAGCCAGAGTCAGAGCCACCCATGATGAGCAAAAGACCTGGAGGAAGTGCAGTGCTTCTTCTAAGTATAAAATGGGGTGAAAAAAGTACAAAAAATAGAAAAACTGGCCACGTGGACTTTGGGAATTCGGTAACTTACAAATTCGTGTAGCTCTTCCTCTTGTTAAAATATATCTTCCTTCTGTGTGTGTAAAGAGGAAATTAAGCTACAAGGGGACGTTGTGTTCTCCATGTGAAAGCCTGGGAGTTGAGGAAGGGTAGCACTGATGCTAACTGAATGAGGAGCGGCCCTACCCTGGTGCGCTCACTGAAACCAAGTCAAAACAGGACTCGGTGAGGAGTTTATTTTTTCTTTTCCTTTCCAGATTTATAATCTAAGGGAATAGCTCGCCGAAGAAGCCAGGGCTCATGTGGCTGTTCATATGGGTACTGTGGGTTTTTAAAAGCTTTGTTGATTTCTCGCCCCAGATTTCTGAACTTTCTACCCACTGCCATCTCTAAGAGGGAGACAGGAGGCCACTGAGAGCCACAGGCTGTAACCCCAGCAACGGCACAGTCTAGTGACTGAAAACCGATTCAAACATGATACCATAGTTCCAGCATCCAATGGTTTCCTTCTCATCATGAGGCTGTGAAGACAGAGGCCACATCAGTTGCAGCCTGCAGAGGCTCCCTTGGCTGTCTCTATGGAGACCCAGTGCTTGGTGACTGTGATGGCCCCGGGGTCTGAGTTAGTGAGGTGAGCAGGCAGCACTGCAGGTCCACCCAAAGGCCTCCCCACTGCTCTGAGCTCCACTTCATTCTGCACAGAAACTTAGGGGGCAGCACAGGGCGGCTCCTCTCTGCTGACTGCCTGCTTCCTGGCTCTCAGCTTTGCTTCTCCTAAGCAGTGTGATTCCCTCCCCGCTTGCCAGGGGGGCAGCGGCTCCATTGGGGTCCGATTGGCCTGCCCTGCTGATGGATTCCTCTGCAGCTGGCTTTGCCTGGCATGTGACCCTCACGGGGACCTCTGCGGGGAGGCTCAAGGTGGTGGGAGCGCATGTCACAACAGTCTCTTGGGCCCTCACTGTTTTTACTGCCTGCCTAATTCTCTTTCCCTTCTTTCTTAGAAATATTATGGGCTGGATACTAAATGGGGTGACATCGAGCAGTGGATGGTAGGCCTTGAATACAGTTTGAAGACTTGGCATGGTTTATAATGTGATTCTCATGCAGTGTAATTGTGTAGATAGATCCCCATTGCACGGTAATTCAATTCGGAGAGGTCTGCTTCCGGGCCTGGCCCCAGCTGGTCCTGATTGTTTACATCTCCAAATGCAGCCTGGCCCGGCTGCTGTGTGTGTGCTGACGTCTATGGGCCAGCAGCCCCTGGGGCTTCCCGATTTCCAGGGGCAGAGAGCTGTGCCCTGGGGACCAGGCTAGCCCCCACCCCAGGACTACCTGAACAGTGTCCATGGCCTTCACATCCCGTGGGGCTCCAGTTGGAAGCACAGGGTTCTCAGGCTCCATTTCTTTGAGGTTGCAGCCAGCTCCTCTGTCACCTCCACTCGACCTCTGTGTACCCCAAAGTTGGGTCCTCTCGTCCCATAGGGTGAGAAAAGTCCTTTACCTTCTCCATGTGTTTCCTCTAATGACCCCGTAGTGACCACTCTGCCTATCTGGAACGGCACAGGGTCACCCTGGTGGTGTTCAGCCCTCCTCCAAGAAGACCCCACCTGGTGGTGATGTCCCATGATCCCCATGAGGGATCAGGCTTCCCTCCTCCATTAATTGTGCACCTCTTCCTGTCCTGGCTGCTGGACCCACTGGCCTCCCAGGGTCCTAGTGTCCAAGAACCTGGCCAGGACAGTGTGCCCTGCCTGTGTCCCCAAGCACAGACAGCCTCAGGAAAGGCAGGTCTACCCGATGGCCTCTGAGACTCATGAGATATAGAAGACAGGGCAGATCAACCCCTGTCAGCCACTGTTTTCGCTTTGCTGACTCAGGGAGAAGTCGGCTAACGCTGACACCACCGCCTGCAGAGACTCAGAAACCAGCCTTGGGTTAAGACAGGTCCGGTCCTAGAGCCTGGAAAAACCAAAACCGAGCCCCTGGCCCCAGGTCACTGTTTTTAAGCCCAGAATGAAATGCACCAACCCCTCCTGTGCTGAGGACCGAATAGAGGAAAGCTTTCCCCCGGGACCCAGTTGAAACCTTAAATAAAGGCCAAGACAGCATGTGGTGGGCATTGGGTCAGAGGTCTGCCCTTACCGAGCAGTCCCTGCACCTCCCTAACGCTCTCTGCTCTTCCCCTGGCCCCGGCAGGAGGACAGCGAGCGCTACTCACGCAGATCCCGGAGGCTCGCCTCGGTCAGTACCCCGCGTTTCCCTACCTGAGGGCAGCTGAAGTAGGTGTCCTTACTAATGCTGAGGCATGCTGGCCCTCAGCACCTGAACAGACTCTGAAGCCAGCCTTGGTACACAGAGCGTGTTTGGAAGTCAGTGGCATTTTGAGTGCCTGTCGCTGCTGAATATCCGTGGGTGATTTACTAGAGATAAACCCGGAGGCTTAGGTGTAACTCATCTGAGTTCCCTGTGATGTAAATATTAGCACTTCAAGCAGTTAAATTAAATCCACCTTATCCAGAAACAGGCTGAGGCAGACAAAACCCCTGCTGCCGAGGACCTGGGCCTGAGCCCCTGAGCTCACCCAGAGGTGCAGGCCACTCACCATTGTGGCAAGGGTCAGCCATGTCCCATGAGGCCAGAGTTGGCTCCTGTCATGGGCTGTGCCGTCATTCACAGCTGTTCTCCTTTCTCTCACCAGGCCTCGGATGAGGACGAGCGCCTGTCAGTGGGCAGCAGAGGCAGCCTGAGGGTCAGTACCGGGGCAGGGTCTGCATGCACAGTGTGTAGTCAAGCCCTGCCCTCCCACCCCACGTCCCACCCTCCTCCTTGGTCCCCGGGGTCTGCCTGCTGATGCCTAACTGAGGAGATGCTTGCTTAATGTTGAAGTGACCAGGCTGCTTCACTGTCCTCAAGGGACTGTTAGTATGCAGACACTTGAGTCTGCATCTTTCCAAGAGTAGAAGTCACTGGTTTTTGGTACTGGTTTTTGGTTCCACTGCACCTGTAGTAACAGTTGTTTCAGAATTGGCGTGAAGGCTCATTCCCGCCCTTGGCTGGGCTGTGTGCCCAGGTCCACACTTCCCATTAAGCTGCAGTCTCTGTTCCCAGGCGTGGTGTCACACACCTGGCATCCCAGCACGTGGGAGGCAGAAGCAGGAGGATTGCAGTGACTGTGAGGCCAGTTTAGCTGGTAGTTCAAGGCCAGCTTCAACCACAAAGTGAAACCTTGTCTCCAAAACAAAACAAAACAAAATTGGAATCTGCACTTCCATAGCTGTAAGTTCATTGTTATTCAGTGATAACTTTGCATAGCTACTGGAGGCTGCCTAGCAAAACAGGCTTAGAATCATGTCTACCTCACCAGCCTCTACTTTTAATAATGATAGGAAATCTCCTGGGCACAGGGCATTTAATGACTCATGATTTACATATACACATGTATGTCAGTGTGTTTTCCTTAAGCACGTAGAAAGCTTTCATAGTCACGCTTGAGCCAATTGTGCACTCTGGGAGATGAGGCAGAGAAGTTGTGTTTGGTTGTTGCTTTAACTTAGTCACTCTGAGCGAGTCAGCTTTGCTTCCCTGCAAGACCGAAGTTCTGTCCCCTGCTTGTCCTAAGTGGACCTTGAAGCAGCCTCTCCTTCCCCAGGGATGCTGGAGAGACCCAAGGCTGCTTCCCATCACTGTTCCGTGAGACTGTAATTCTGCTCCGTGACTCACGTGTAGGCTAAGTGTGAGCTTAATTTGACAGACTGTCACAGGCTGCTGAGCCACGCTGGTGGTGTGCCCATCTCTGCAGTGCTAACACAGACGCAGGTGGCTTTGTGGGACAGTTCCCGTTCCCACAGGACAGGATAGAGAGCCACCTTGCTATTGGAAACCTCCCATAGTGGCCTAGGCTTTGTGATACAGCTGTGACTTCTGCAAGGTCCCTGCGATACAGCCTGCTCTGGGAGAAAAAAATGTAAATTCAAAGCAAAGTCTGGAGCCAGTGCACAGTCAGTTGGTGAGCAGGTCCAGAAGCGAGTCCTTAAAGCCAAGTGAAGGGGCCAGAGGAGGGCTACACGCCAGCTGGATTTAGCATCCAGGGACATTGCCAAAACTTCTCATGCCAATGGTGAGAGAGAAACCTTAATGATAAAGCCAGGCATGGTGGCACACGCTGTAATCACAGTACTCAGGAGGCTGAGGCAGGAGAATCCCCCTGCATTCAAAACCAACCTGGGCTACATAATGAGTTCAAGATCAGACTGAACTGCTGAGTGGAAGCCTGTCTTAAAAAAGAAACAAAACAACAACAAAAAGCAACAATGAGAGAACCCAAAAAACCCCTAAAACCTGATTGATGGATTCATAAGAGAATAGGAGGAGAGAGGGAAACGGACATCATATCTCTGTGAAAGCATCTCATCTTCAGATCTGTGCTCCTCTTGAAATTGTATGAAGACCGTGGTGATTTACATTTCTCTAGGCAGAGAACAGCCCCTTTCTTATTAAGATTCTCTGAGACTTTCCTGTCCCCAGAGAGTACAAAGTGACTGAAAGCAGACCTTTCTTTCACTTTCAAAGCTCTTACCTGGGAAAGTGAGTTAACTCTGTCTGCTGTGCCCTGCTGTTTACCAAGACAGCAAGTATGTCTTTCAGGCAGGAGGTCCCCAGGCTGTGTTTCATGTTCCACTGCAGGGTCTGCTAGCCCAGACTTTCCCCCAAAGGGACTGTATCTAAAGACTGTCCTTGAAAACCTCAGAACTTGAGAACTTGGATCCTAGAGAGGAGAATCGGACCTATTCATCCATCCATCCATTCATTCATTCACTCAGGGTGTTTTATTTTGTTTGTTTTGAGACAAGATCTATGTAGCACAGGCTGGCCTTGAGCTTGTGATCCTCCTGCCTCAGCCTCCTGAGGGCTGGGATGACAGGCCTGTGCCACCACACCTGGCTAGCCTACTCAGGGGCCACACAAGCCCAGGGTGCCTGAGAGGCCTGCTTGGAGTCCCCGTTCTTGGTGACAGCTCCAGCACTCGCTGCCCCTGGCCTGGGCCTGTGGCCTCCTCCGTGGCAGGTGCCCCACACCTGACAATGAAATCTCGACCTTGCAGAGTTCTAATGCAGGATCACATCTTCAATTCCTCAGCTCCCACACATTCCACAGCCATTACTATGCACCCTAAGAAGGCCCCGGACGCTTCTGCTGGCCTGGCGTCTGCGTGGATGGTCCTCTAGGAAACAGGATTGTAATTTTTTTTTAATTTAAAAACTGGCAGCAGTGCATCTGTTAGCTTTTCTCTAATTAATGAGCATGTGTTATGTAAAGAGAGAAATAAGGTTACTTGAGCCATTTCATATTTCATGAACTATAGCACCTGATGTCATGGTAGTCGAGATTTCTATGGTTGCTATCATTCTAATATAATTTTTTAATAAGTATATGTAAGATCCTAGAAGTCATGGGAGATGTATTTCCATTGAGATTTTCTAGACGGTCGCAGTGTTTTGATGTTCCCCGCCCTTTCACTTACTTTTGCGTTCTTCCCCTCTCATCCTTACCCACCAGTCGCAGCCTGACCTGGAGTCTGGGGGTCCCTACGCCTGGGTGAGACAGTCGCATGCGTCGTGCTGTGTGCCCCTAACTGTGTGGTGTGACCCATAACATCCCGGAGTTTGCACTAACCTCTCGGTGCTGTCCGAGGCCCTGGCGGGCCAGGGTATGGTACAGTGCTGGAGCTGGTGCTTGGTGGGTGTGTCTCGTGGGGAGGACCTGGGTTTGATTCCTGGCACCAGCCGGAGGCCCAGATGTCCTTGTCTGTCTACTGGTACCCCCAGCCCCCCAGGTAGCAGTTGTGCCGCCAAGGTGAAATAGGCAGAACCTTTTTGGGCCAAAAAGTTCTAAAGCCTCTAGCTTTCTCCTCAAAGATTAAATGCAGTCATGGCACCTAATAAAAACCTCATTGTTGTCCAACCTGGACTCATTGAGATTAAATGTACCCCTGCTCGTCCTCAAAGAAGCTCGGGAAGGGGTAACAAAAACAACAGCTTTTCTGGAACACCTGTGAACTTAACTCACCTGTGTGGGCTCAGCACGAAGGCAGCTCTGGCTTCCAGCTAAGGTGGCACTTCGTAGGGGACTTCGAAGTGACGCCCCATCTCAGAGCATTTGGTGTTTCCTCTGTTACTGCTTCTTTTTGGAACCATTTGGCAAATTCTTGTTTTTAAAATGCACTTTTATGATTAAGGTAGTCATTAGCCAGGAATGCTGAGTGCCAGCTGGCAGGTTTGATCCACCTGCGGTGCTACTGAGTGCCCTGTGCAGATGGTCGGTAATTTATCTGCAGAGATTTCCACCCTCACACTGCTAGATGAGAGCATTTTGTGACAGCATAGCTAGCAGTGTCCCTGTTCTTTCAAGAAGTAAAAGAACAGACTGTCACCTCGCAGTAGACTTGGTGAGGGGCCAGCCTTGCTGGGATGAATGAACATAGATGCTGGCACTGGTCAGAAACACCTTTTGGATTTCTGTTTCCTGTGCCATCTTTCTTAGAATTAAATCAAATCACCAAGCACGCAGTGACAGTTTTTGATTTACCCTTGCTTGTTGATTTTGCACCTCCAACACATGTGCCTTGCTACGTGACTCACGTAGAAAAATAGAAATCTCCTGTGACTCATCGGCAGAGCTGACGCTGGACTTTTGTGTGGTCACACGGGCTGGTGCCAGTGCTTTGTTTGCAGCCGCTGCACGGCTGTTGTGAGATCCCGACGGGTCACATGTCACCGTTGGAGTCACAGATTTTGCCAGGACTTTTTCCTCGCAGCTTTATGAAAGTGCCCCTGTGCTGCACTCACAGTGAGCTGCTCCCTCCCTTACTGTTCAGGAGGTCACCCTGGGGAGCAGGTGCTTGTCACAGTGTGTGTGCCCAGTATTGGGGCCTGGGGTGTGGGTGAGCTGCAGACTCTCCCCAGGTAGCTAGCATGTGACCCACAAAGCAAACAAGCACCTGTACCCAGGAAGCCACACGGGGAGGGACATGGCAAGAGTCCCACATAGTGAAAGCAGCTGGACCTCGGGGACCAATGTCAGAGACACCGTGTGCTATACGCTTTCCACCTGGGTGTCGTGGCAGCAGCTTTCCCATCAGTCCTCTGAGTCCTGCTCCAGTCCTGTAGAAGCAGCCGCCCATCCCAGACTCAGGAGACTGGGGGGGGGGGGCAGGGGCAGGAGGATGTCCAGTGTGTCTCTCTGCACTGGGAGTCAACCAGGGACCAGCTGATCCGGGAGGGGGTCACCCAGGTAGGGAAGGCCAGAGGGTTGACGTGTGTGTAGCACTTCCGTTCTCGTCTGTGTGAAGTGTGCTGGCTGTCTCGGGTCCACCCGTAGCACTGTGTCCATTTCTTCTTCCCCAAACTAGTTTTTCTTTTTCTTTTTTGTAGTGCTGGGGATTGTGTATGCGGAGCAAGGACTCTGCCCCGGAGCTACACCCCAGCCCTGTTTATACAATGTTAAATTTTGAGACAAGCCTCACTGAGTTGTCTAGTGTGGCCTTAGCACTTGCAATTCTCCTGCCTCTGCCTCTGGAGTGGCTGAGAGTACCAGTGCACACCGCTGCACCTGGCTCCAAAAACTAGTTTCTAAAGAAATAGCAGAGTGATTTAGGCCTAAACTATACCAGCCCTTGACGTGCTTTTCCTTATCAAGCAATCTTGTTGGTGAAGGTACCAGTGGATTAACTCACTCGCCTGAGCTCAGAGCTGTCACCTGTGACTGAGGGCACCTGCCTCTCTGCTTATCAGACACATGGGTGGGCCACATCCCCTTCCGTCCCCAAGATGCACAGCTCTTACGTGAACCTGCGTGGGTTTGGGGATAGAAGGACGGGAGCCCTGGGAGGACCCAGTGCTTGGGCGGAGGGGACCTGGGCTGGGAGACAGAGGCAAAGGGAGCCACGGACACCTAACAAGCGCCTCCCTCATTCCCACAGAACACGTTAGGGGCCATTTGGTTTGTCCTCCAGTTTCAGTTTGAAAAACAAAGTAGGAAGCCTGGAAGAAAGAAAAAACTAATATGGAAGATGCTTGTCTAACACACACTTCTCCCTGCCTCCTTCACTCCTTTCTCCCGCCCTTCTCAGAGAGGGAAATTGAACCCAGCATCCCAGAGGTGGGAACTGAACCTACTTAGTTGCATCCCTAGTCTCCTTTTCAAATTTTTATTGTGAGACAGGATTAAGTTGCCCAGGTCGGGCATGAACTTTTAATCCTCCTGCCTCAGCCTCCCCAGTGTCGGGATTATAGACCTGCACCTCCTACACCTGGCTGAGCATTGCATTTAATTTTAGATTAAAAGAAACTATTTCTAGATGTCATGACAGTGCTTCATCCTGGGCTGTGACTTCCCAGGACCAAACCATGGCCTGAAATCTGATGGGCTCCCACCCCTGGCCTGCCACGCAGCCTCCCTTCCCTTCTGAAAGCTAGAATCTCTGCAGCGCTACCCCAAAACTAGGAGGGAGCCAGCCCAGGTTGTGGGCTTCACCCCAGGGGGCAGCCTCAGAACCAAGAGCAACTTGTGTGTTACGCAGCCTGATGTGGTTTTCTCCAAGTTGGAGTGGTATGTGTACTGAGGCTGGAACTTGTGGGGATATGGGTTCTGCATCACCCCGAAACTTCCCTGTACCCTCTGTGCTGAAAGAGTGTGGCTTCCCGCTAATTTTCCTGCTGCCTGTGCCAATGTGTGCCTTTACATACTGACTCGGGTTTCTCTTTTCTTCGTTGAAACAGAGCAATGGTTATGATGGAGAGCTGTACGGATCGCAGGCGCCAAGCAGAAGATCCGGCAGGGTTAGTACAGCTGAGTGGCTCGCACGCAGGCCCTCACGCAGGCTGCCCGAAAGCTGCTAAGAGTCCCTGCTAAATTTAGCTTGTTTTTATAAGCTGGCTTCTTTTTCTAGCACGATAGTGAGAAAGATAATGTTTTCCAGCTAGCAAACATTCTCGGGATGCTCTCTGACATTCTTAGGATGACTGACATTCTAGGTGTTTAGAAGAGGCCTATCCTGTTAAGATCTCTTAAATTTAAAACCAGGTTAAACTTCTCAGTTTAAAGCTAGATTAAAAGTGACACCTGTGGTTATTTTTTGGAATGCACAGGTAAGTTCAAGCCTGGCACACTTCTGCAGCTCCCACTGGTAGGTCTAGTGTTTGTCTGAAAGGCTCGTGACAGGAGTGGAACGAGTGTGGCTGAGGGTGGGCAGCTTGAGGCAGAGGAGGTAGAGGCCTCTGCAGGGAGACAGGCCAGAGGCCCCGGATTTAACGGGCAGCCATGCCCTGGGCAGTTCAGGTTGAACAGAACGCCTTGTGATGAAGCTTCACCGTGCACCATGGGTTTGTTCTAACACCTTCCTGTCCTGTCGTTTTCTTCCCTTTTACAAATACATTTACACCGTTTAATTTTGTTTTAAATGTGCTGTGATGACGATATTAAAGTCACTGAAGCTCGGGGCTGGGGATTTAGCTCAGCGGCATAAGCGCCTGCCTTGCAAGCAGGTGGTCTTGAGTTCGATCCCCGGTACCGATAAAAAGGAAAAAAACAACAAAAAAAAAGTCACTGAAGCTCCATTCTAGGCCTTGCCTGGGTGACCTGCACCCCACGCCCCACTAAAGCAGCAATATCAGCTTCCCAGAACCGGCTGGACAGGTTATGTGAGCCTCACCCTCCAGGATTGTGCAAGCTTTGATTACATTTCCTCTGAGCTTTTCTTTGACTTTGAAATCCTCTGCTGAAAGCCCCTCCTTGTCCCTGTCCAGCGGGCTCCTGAGGCAGTGAGCCCAGGCATAGGAGAGGAGCCCTGCCATCCACTGTACACCCCTGTGCAGACACACACTTTCACAGAGTCCCATGTCACCAGTGGGCAGCTGCAGCTCCCCAGGAGCCCTGGACCTCTCATAATGTAGAGGAAAGAAACTCCCAACCTACTAGACGTCTGGTATGAGTTTGTGTTCTCCGAAATCAAAGAATGAATTTTAGGATCAATGGAGGTTAGGCGCACAATGTATTGATCGAGAGAAATAAAGCTTCTGTCTGAATGAGAGACAGAAAGGGGTCCCGAGAGGATTGTCAAAGACGCTGTCTTTTTTAGGGACTTTGATAGAGCAAAACCACAAAGTGAGGCAGGGTGGGGAGGTGGGGAGAACCTGGGAACTCACAAGGTGGCCATGAGGTGGGACAAAACTATGGTCAGCCTATAAGGTTCATTGCTCAGGTAAAACTGATTAAATCAGGGACAGCTGATAGCTGAGTCACGCAGCAAGCAGGCTTGCTTAAAGAGCAGGGACTTTTCCTGTAGGGGGCTGGGATGGTGACTTCTGGTTTCCTCAGGGAATAGAGACCTATTTAGAATATCAGTCCCTGATGTTTTGTCCTTAGGAAATATGTGGGCGCATTTGATTTATCTTCTGTCTTGGGGTGTTTGTTTGCTCTAGAGTTGCGGGGTACCTGGGCTTCTGCACTGGCCCCTTCTAGGGCCCAGCCCTGTCTGACTGCCTGTAATATTTCTGTCCAGCTCAGCTGCCTGTAACGATAGGAATTTTGAGTCTCGATCACAGCTTTCCCCTTGATGTGCTGTTTCACCAGCATTAAGCACAGAGTCACATAGGGGTGGAGGTGACTGTCGCTTCTCTCATCCAGCTCCTGCCCAGGGTCACGTCCTCTAAGACATCCCCAGCGTGGCGTCATCACACACCTAGCGCAGTGCAGAGCAGGGTGACGGCAACCTGTGTGCCACCCATATTCCCGAGGTTTCACCTCTGATTTTCTTTTTTTTTCTTTTTTTTTTTTTTTGTCTTTTTCCTTTTTTATCGGTACCAGGGATCGAACTCACGACTGCCTGCTTGCAAGGCAGGTGCTTATGCCGCTGAGCTAAATCCCCAGCCCCTTCACCTCTGATTTTCACATTGATGCAGTGAGGTGAGCTCTCCTGTTTAGCTAAGATTTACCAGATGCCACCAAAAGCTGCTCTGTTCCCACCCTGCTCATAGAGTGAAACCAGCTATAAAACTGATTGAATAAATAAACAGAAAGGGCCACATCTGAAGACCAGAATAACCTCTCAGTGTATGGAGAATGCAAACCGCAGCTCGGTGTGAGGTGGAGCGTGTAGAACGTGTGGGGTAGCGGGACCCCTTCCAGGTGCCGGGACACCTGTGTCCAGGAAGGCCTGACCTTGATGCGCTCTGCACAGCGCCATCTCCTGTCTCCATTTGCATCTGCACCTGGGCCAACCCTGTTCAGGGTTGTGGCTGGCGCTGACCTTGTCCGTGTGCCCTTTGTCGGGGGTACTTGGGAGAGACAGTGTCCTCTCTGAGTGGCTCTTAGCTCCTCCTCCCTGCCTGGCGCTTCCAGGCTAAGCTGCTCCGGTGAGTGGGGCTGAAGTGAGATGGAAAAATTTCAGTAAATAGGATTTAGTTCCCGGAGGAGGTGGAGACTGAGAAGGCAGGTGTGGGCATAGAGAAGCCACAGGGCCAGGAGCGCTGACCTGTGAGGCTCAGCAGGATGCTGGCCAGGACCTGCCACACTGCTCGATCTCTGGCTACTCATTGTCCTGGGATGCTGGGGTCACACTCTCCTTGCAGGTGGGGCAGGCAGCATTTTGGGTCACCTTCATGACAGCTGTCTTCTTTCTCGGTGTTCAGAACTCCGGCTACAGCGGGGACGGCAGATTCTCCACTTTGTCATCGCCCAGGGAGGAGAAGTTGGTTGGTTTGCATTTCATTCTTTGTACTCTGACTTCAGAAACTACAGGTTCTGTGGCATGCAGGCGTGCATACGTGTGTGTGTAAGTGTGAGATCAGTGTGTCCTTTCTTTCCTAATCTCCATTTCACCAGTTTCCCTGGACAGGTGCTTTGTAACATGATTAACCTGAGTCTTTCCTTCAGACTCTTCCGTGTCCTGCTCTTCCATACCAATTGTGGGACTCAGCTGACTTCACAGAAAAACATTTTTGTGTAGATTTGTTTGTTTGTTTGAGATGAGGTCTCCCTGTGTTGTTTATGTAGCTTTGAACTCACTATGTAAACCAGTCTGGCCTTGGTGATCCTCCTGCGTCAGCTTCCTGAGTGCTGGCATGGCAGGCATGTACCACCACACCCAGTTTAGATTTTTAAATTAGAATTAACCAAAAGGAAAAAAAAATGAGGAGAAAGCCTCAGCTTTCTTTCCTGGGGAGTTTGTTGGAGTTCACTCATGGCAGTTTCCCCAGAATGGGTGAATGGTAGGGAAATCCAGTCCAGTCCGGGTGTCCACACAGCTGAGCACCATTGGTCCTGAGGACAGATTCTGAGTCACCCAGGAGCCGGGTGGCTGAGCTCGTGCGTCAGCCCCAGCTCGTTTTCACTCAGCCATAGCCAGGAGTTGGGGAGGTGAGGAAAGCTGGAAGGGCCCCGGCCACAGCGGAGGTCAGGTCCTGGTGCATGCATACGTGGAGGAGTGGACAGGAACACTGGTGCTAACTAAGTGTGCTGGGCTTGGAGGAGTAGGGAGAGGAGACTCCAAGAGAACCAAGATTGAAGGTCCGGGCTGCCTCTGCTCAGTGACCCCAACTGCCACTCCCCCCAGAATCAGAGAACTGGAAAAGGTCAGAAACCCACAGGATGCCTCTCCTGATCCCCGTGTAATCTTTGACCTCAGGAGGCCAGGCAGCCCTGACCCCATTTCCCCTCCACATCCCCCCTCTGCCACATTAGTCTTGCCCTGTCTACCTCCCTCCTGCCAAGGAGGCTGAGGTATGATACGCAGTTGCTGGCCCCATCAGCTCATTTGCCCACTCTCCAAATTCTTAGAGCCCCTCATAAGACCCTCTGTTTTAGGAGTGACCCCCATAGGGGGAGTTCTCACTAAGCACCAAAGTGTGGGTGTGATGTCTCAATCTGGGGAGGTTTTGCTGTGCAGGGAGCCCTCGAGCATTTGGATAGCTGGTCTCCCTGGTCCTGTAAGCTGAGCTGCTCCCCCAAAATAAGATGCCAGGCCCTAAGCTGGCACATGAGCTGCTAGCCTACATCCGGCTCACTTCAATTCCCCAGACAGAGATGACCCATCTCCAGGGACAGGATCCTAGTGGGGACTGAGCATCAGACAGCAGTTAGAGTTCCGGGGCCGGGGCTACCTGCAGCCCTTGGCCATGCCCTGTGGTACTCGTCACAAGCTGGCACTTTGGATTTGACTGCCGACACAGACCTCAGTGAGGTCTTGGGATGTGTGAGTCATCGGGGAACTTAACTGGCTGCTGGCTGTGGCTCTGTGACTCTGAAGGCTGTCAGTCCCCTCAGAGGGGTTGTCAGGGTGGCTTCCTTCCCCTCAGGAGAGGACTGGGATTGTCCACCGCCTGTGTTGCCTATGGGAAACTCCCCCCCATGCACCCAGAGACCCTTGCATCTCTCTTGGGCTGCCATGGTGCAGCTCATTGGAAGCACAAGCTCCAGGACCCTAAAGGACGGTGGGTGCTTTTGGGTGCCTTTACCAGAGCCACCATCTTCAGGGTCACCCTTCCTTAGGAGATTGGCAGGACACCAGTCAGGGCCACTGGCTTCCCCCAAGGATGCCTTGATTTGTGTAAATCATTCTATCTGGGGAAGCTATTGACTCCCAGATCGTTAATGTCAGAATCGATCTGCTTCACTGTTTTCCACACCTGTGAATCCTGAGTCTGCTCAAGAGTAAAGGCCCACCCACAGGGGCCAGGCAGGAAAACATCTAAATATTATCGTAGCCAGGCATTGTGGCACACGACTGTAATCCCAGCACTGGAGAGACTGAGGCAGGAGAATCCCTGTGAGTTTGAGGCCAGCCTGGACTACACAGTGAGACTGTCTCAAAACAAAAAGAAAAAAAGAATTTTATTGTGTAAGTAGAGGTTGATATATCTGCAGAATCACAAATTAGTTTTTTCCCCACCAAATTTTAAAAATTAGAACTCAGGTCACAAAGACCAAAATCTCTGTATAACTTCCAACAATTAAAATTAAATTTTAAGCCAAACATAGTGACATATGCTTGTAAACCCAGCATCCAAGAGGTAGGAGGATCGCCATGAGTTCAAGGCCAGCCTGCGCTATATAGCGAGACCCCATTTCAAAAACCCTAATAAATAAATGTATGTGATCTTTTTTCTTTGTTTGTATAGAGTTAAGACCCTAATTGATCCATGTGGTTTTTGCCAGTTAACTAACTCCACTAGTTCGTTCCCCTGCCCCTTGAGTACTGGCTGGAAAGAGAAATCTGTCTGAGTGGACGGTGCCCAGGACCTCCGCAAGGAGGAAAGGTGTCGGCCCTTCCCTTTCTGTCCCCACACATGTGGTCCTGAGTGAGGACTTCAGCCTCTTCTGTATGATGTCCGCCCAGTTCAGCTGGTTTGGACTGTGTGCTGACCACTTTACTCTATCTTAAAAAAAAAAAAAAACCTAAAATAATTCAGAACCTCATGTAAAAAAATGGAGCACTCTGTGCAAGAGCTCTTTTCAAGAGCTTTGGTCCAAAATATTGGTCTCCTGGGTCTCTCCATTTCCACCAATTGTTCCCTGCATGGAGTTTTTGGTTGTTTTTTGAAAAAGTATTTTTCGCTGGCCAGTGTGTCCAGGAAGCCATTTGGAGGTCTCCACGTTCTCTGACTCCTCAGACCGGATCGGGAGAACCAGCTTTTTTCTCTGGCTCCCTGCATGTTTCCTGTTTTCACAGGGCCTGCATTTAGGCCAGCCCCTGGCTAAGTGGCCTTTGTTGCTGTAGGTGACGAGCATGGTACCACGCAGGAAGTGGGCGTCATGTACCATTGCACATTGTGGTGGGGCTGGACTGTCCCCACCCTGCATGCACACGAGAGTTGCTGTGCCCCCGCCTACTCTGTGCATCCCGGGCAGTGGCCTGGCTATGAGTCCTGGCTGCTGTGGACCCCATGAGCTGCCCCATGTCCCAGCATGGCCCCTCCACAGTGTCATAGAGACATGACTTCCGGGCCTGGATTCCCCTTTCACAGGGTTGGACTGCAGCCAGTGCCAGTCTGGCCTGCAGTGCCCGCCTCCAGGCCTGTCTGTGTCTGTGACCATCTCTGACCTCAGAAGGGAGGCGAGCTGTCCCACCCATGGGTTTCTGTATGGTCGTCCCAGGTATCTGATAGGGAGCTGGTTCCAGGACCCCAAGGAAGCCAGAGCCCACAGCAGTTCCCATCCCCCAGTAAACTGTTACGTACTAGAACCTAGCACAGTGGTGATGAACCTGTGGCATGCATGCCACAGTGGGCTGTTTGTATCATGGAAAGCTCTAGAAGGTTCACCATCACTGCCTGGCCATCTCCTGTTACCTTTGTGTCCTCCTTGGTGACTTTACGTGTGATACCAAGGACAGCGTAAGAACCTGCAGGTAGTCCGTGTGCTGAGCTGGGGAACAAAGAGAGAGGAAGTCCCTCTGTGTTCAGTATGCAGAAGATTTTCTAGTCTTTTCCAGCCTGGGGAGGTTAGATACCGAGAAGGGAGCCCTCAGATATAGTGGGCAGCAGTGCAAAGCCCGCGTGCTGTCTGCACCTCGAGCTTTGAGTTGCTGCTGTTGTGGACCCTGTGACAGTTTTGACCCTTCCCAACTCTTTCTTCCAGGGCTGCCTGAAAAGAATTGACTAAAAAACAGCAGTAGTTCAGAGCTTATGGTGCTAACTTTAGAAGCCTTCTCCCATGCCTCTTTCTTGTAAATGTTGGCTTTGTATTAATCAGGTTCCCTGGAAACACGGTCCCTGAATCGGCCCTTCCTCTTCTAACTGTTGTCCACTGGCTCAGCTCTCAGGGCAGCCTGTGGCTGTGTGTTCAAGGCTTTGACGACCTGCTTTTGCTCTCTTCCCGCAGCCCTTGTATCTGTGCGGCGCGGTACGGCCTGCAGGGAGTTACCGGGTGCGTGGTCCTCGTTCCAGCCCACGCATGTGCCGCTCTGTCCCACCCAGTTTCCGGTTCTGTTGAGAGTGTCACCTCCCCTCTGTCCCACCCAGTGTCACCTCTCCCTGGAGCTTACACTGCCGCGGCACTGGCAGTCCTCTTTGGCCAGGTCTGGATTTTCACTCCTGACTGCTGATGGGACTGTCACACGGCCCCCTGCCCATTCCGCCTCCCATTTGTACAGGGTCCTTAGTCTGGATGGAGCGAGGGCAGCTTGCACTTGACCTGCTGGCAGAAAGCCGGCTCCTAGGCGCCTCGGCACTGCAGGTGGATTGCAGCCCACGTTACTGTGTTACCCTGGGGATCCCCAGCCTCACACGTGGGGACCTGTGCGCGGCAGGAAGCGTCGGCTGAGTGTTCAGAGCAGCTGCACCGCTCCAGCACACAGCACTTCAACTCAGTTTCCGGAGGTGTCAGGAGCCGGGAGCTCCCATCTCCAGGGAGCCTGTCCTTAAAGGGAGGTGGGAAATTCAGGCTCCAGTGAACCGGGCAGGTTTGGCCCTCACCCGAGCGGCTGTAAGCTCCTATTTCTGTGATTAACTGCATAGGATTTTCAGAGTGACCAAATGTCCTGCCTTTCACTTGGTTGCTTTTAGCACTGCACACTTCAATGTTAACACTGTGACTAACATGGTTTGATGTTTTCCTCTGAGGTCATATAGCATCATGTTTTAAGCTTACAAGCACGAGGGTGCCTTGAACTTCCAGCCGCTGGCCCATCTGCTGATTTGGACGCTGGATTAATACATATCTCCTTAGTGTGGACTGCTTTTCACAGTACAGATTTAGTGATGCACCAGGGGTTAACAGTGACTGACACTCGTGTGGTCCCCGGGTTCCCTGCTGACAAGCTGGCGGAGGTGGCATCTGGCCACCCTGCATGGCACCCCCGGCACACATTCCCTGGTCACCTCGCATGATGCTTCCCGGGCTCCTGACAATCCATTTCCACCACAGGCATCCGTGTTCCAGGAGAGCAGCATCGACTGGGCTCGGCGGGGCAGTGCCGACCAGGCCCAGCGGGGCAGTGCCTGCGGCTCCCTGGCTGTAAGCTGCTTCCTGGTTTCTTCCTGACCTTCTGTCCCATGCCACTGCTCCAGGGTCCTGGATGATCTCGGGTGCAGGTCCAGCGTGGAAGTACACAAGGTCGCGCCTTGGTTTGCACTAGAACTGATGGTTTCGGGTCCTCACTCTTGAGTAATTGGGGTCACAGAGGCAAAACCTGCCTGAGCCTCCCCGCACTCCCCTGCAGCTCACAGATAGCACCAAGCGGCCCAAGGGCCTGCAGGCCTCCAACAGATCTCTGACAGGTCACCACTGACTTGTGCCTCTGAATAATGGGAGAAATGAGCTGGTTTGTGGGGTCAGAGCAGTGTACATAGTTCGCTCCTGCAGGCTCCTTGAAGCAGATTGGAAATGCCAGCCTGGGCTGGGCAGCGAAAGCTGGCAAGTGATAAAGGGGAAAGGAGCACATGGGGTCCCTGGAGGTAGGGAAGCCTCCTTGCCTCAGTGCCTCCAGAAACAGAAACTCATGGGTCCTCATGAGGAGGGGAGCCCCACCTCCTGGCTCCCACACAAACCCTATAAGATGCCCCTGAGCCCTCCGTGGGACCGGCCCACTTCCTGAGACCACTGGAGCTGTAGTTTTGCTTCTGAAATCTACCAGCCACTGGGCTGGGGTGTGACTCAGAGTGGCTGGCTTGCCAGGCACAAGGTCATGGGTGTGGTACCCAGCAGGAGGGGAGAGAAAGTTAAAAGGGGAACAGAGCAGAAAGAAGCTGGCTACTTCCTTAGCCCGTCCGGTTTCCTGAGTCTTTGTGCTGCTTCTCCAGTCACCGTAGATATTCCTAGTTCTCGTGAAGGAAGTCAGTCAAACCACCAGTTTTCTTTGCCGTGCAGCTTTTAGTGGTATTCAGTCTAATGACACAGCGTTTGTGGTTGTTAATATTCAAACACTGACCGAGTTTGGTGCTGCGTAAACCATTTGATGTGGCAGAGCCCAGCATGATAAATCTCTCTCCCAGTTCTTTATCACAGAGTGTATGGTGAAGGCTCACATAAAGCAGACAAGTGGTGTGGTTTTAGGGCTCCAGAACCCTCTAGCAGAGCTCGAGATTCTCTGGAGGCTGAGACAAAGAACTTCTCTGGCCGCCTGTGTTTATGTAGTTTTCAAACAAAGGGGAAACTGAGGAAAACAGACACTGAGCAGGACTTTGGGAATCAGTTCAAAGACTTTCCCAAGTAGGAAATTACACCAATCAGGAGAATTGTTTTATCTCTAGTTGACATTTATGGCAGGAGTGAGATGCCTGCAGCTGCAGTCTCTACCTAGTTCATTGGGATGGGAGCCAGGCTTCTCAGCTGTGGCCTTATCTTATGCTTTGAGGTTTCTCTGGCATCATAGGCTGCTACAGGCCTCCGCCAGGATTAGCGATTCATAGAGGTTCACTTACTATGAATCTGCCACCCCTGTCCAGATAGGGAGTCTAGGCCTGGGACAGACTCACAAGAAAGCTTAGAAAGCCAATTGGTTCATTTTAAATCCTTTTCATAGCCCCCTCATGGTGATGCCCATCAGTTCTTAAATATTTTGTATTGGAAACTGTGAGCCAGTTCTGAAGGATGACATTGTCCTGGAGAAAGTGGAACTAAATGAATTTCTTGTATCAGAAAAGAGGAAATTCACTAACTCCGTTAGGGAAGGGAACTGCCCACCTACTAGGTGGTTTCCTGTGCTCTAAAATCCAGCAGAGCCAGGTGTGGTGGCCATGCCTTTAATCATACCTCCCCTTCCTGCTTCTGCTCACTCTGCCTTGCTCAAGAGAAAACGAGTTTTTCAGTGATGGGCAAATGATTGACGACTGGAAGGGACATGGTGAAAGTCCAGGTTAAGTGGCCAGTCCCAGGGTAGCGTGGCCCTGGCCTTGCCCTTTACTGGAAGCAAGGTGGCCCAGGTGCGTGGGTGGACAGGCAGGCAGGAGTACCAGCCCCCAGGGGGAAGGCCATCTAGTACTTCAAAAAAAAAGCCACACGAGATTGTGAATTAACCCTACATCTTCCTGGTTTCCACTGGGTAAGACAGTAGAGAGCAGACCTTTGCCCCTGTGTTTATGCCATCAAGCCCTCTGTCTTCCTCTTCAGTCTATGAGCAGCTTTAATTTTCCAAAAATTTCAGCAAGCTGGGCATGGTGGTGTGTGCCTGTCATCCCAGCACTCGGGAAGCTGAGGCAGGAGGATTGTTGCAAGTTCAAGACCAGCCTGGGCTACAAAGTGAGCTCAAGGCCAGCCTGAATTGCATAGCAAGATCCCGTCTCAGACCAAAAAAAAAAAACAAACCAAGGATTCCACACCCACAGGTGATGGTTGGCGTCTAAATGACAGGGCCCATGTTGGACAGGACAGGTGCTTTGTCTCTCACTTACTGTGCTATTGGGCTGTTGGGGTGGATTCTCTTCTCTTTGGGATGGGGGCAAGGGGACACTTGTGACGGGCTCAGGCTGCCTCTCACCCTGATCTCTTCTGTGCTCTGACATGCCCTCGGCTCGCTCCTCCTGGCTGCTGCTTTGCTGACCTGTGCTCTGTCCCATCTGCACCTCCTCCGCGCCCACGGCAGCCCTCGGAGTACAGCGGCCACCTCAACTCTGGCTCCCGTGCCTCCTCCAGGGCCAGCTCGGCGCGCGCCAGCCCAGTGGTAAGTCCGCCTCGGCCTGTGCCCTGCAGCCTCCTTCTCTCCCTTCCCCTTCCCCTTCTCCTCCTTCTCCTCCTCCTCTTCTCATTCTGTCCTCTCTGTTCTTCCAAAATGACCTCTGCCTTCGAAGGTCAGCACAAGGTGGAGTTAGAAAGGGCTCTCTGAGTAGTATTTAAAGTTTAAACTGGGATGTTGACGCATGCCTGTGATCTCAGCACTTGGGAGGCAGAGGCAGGAGGATCACCGTAGAGTGAAGGCCAGCCTGCTCTACATGTGGAGGCCCTGTCTCAAATAAATACATAAATACCCCTCCCCTGGAAACAACTATACTTTATTTCAAGTCTAAGTAAAAACAGAGCTGGGGAAAGTGGTCCAAATTTAGAGCACTTGGTAATGATGCGGTGAAAGACATCAGCATGTGTGGAGTTGGGGCCTAGAGGGGAAACTTCTGCAGCGGGCAGAGGTGGGGGCAGCTGTGCGCAGAGTGGGTCCTTGTGATTGGAAACTTCACAGCATCGACTCTGGCCCTTGGCTTGGAAATGCTGGCAGTTGTCAAACCCAGATGGTTTTTTTCTGTGGTCCAACTCGGCCCACGAAGACCACGGCCTCAGCGTTCTGCTCCATCACCCATAGTCCTGCCAGCTCTCAGACTTCCCAGGGTCCCTCTCCCCCGGCACAGCCTGGCCCAGGAGCTGGCCTTGCCCCCGACTGTCACCGTAACGTGCTTTTCCCAGGGCCATCTCCATTTCAGGCAGCTTCACGTCCTCCGAGGCTTTCTAGGGACCTCCTTTAGTATTGTCCTATGCAGGATTTTGCAGGACAGTTTTGGCCGAGAGGTGGACAGGAAGGCCGGCGGCACTGAGGATCCAAGTGGGTAGGAAGTGCGTGCTGGAGCCAGGCTGCACTCTTCACCTGTGAAGCTGCCAGGTGTGGGACATGTGGCATGCCTGTCCTCCCTTCATGCAGGGGCCAGGGCGGGAGCCCAGCCTGGATGACGTAGACCCTTCTGCAAAACAAAAAGCTTTTAAAGGGTGGGGATGCAGCTCAGTGCAAAGGCCCTGGGTTCAAGCCCCAGTACTAGGAGAAAGAAAATCAGCTCCCAGCCATGGAGAAGCTTCTGTGTGCTCCAGACTCCATTACCCAGCACTGTCCCGCAGAGCACCATGCCCTGAGCCCTGGGCCGGGTCCTTATCCAGTTGTCTGCAGCCTGGAGCTACTGGTTGAGCTCAGCTCCAGCTGTCACAGCAGAGGCTCATGCCAGATACAGAAGTGGTTTCCTGGGAGAGACCCACAGATCCCTGGCGGCTCTGAGCCTCTGCCAAGCCCAGCTTCCAGGGTCCCCAATACCCCAGTTTCTATAGCACTGAGGCTGTGCCACATTCACTGCTGGGCAGTCGGTCATGTCATGACCTGACATGAGGTCTCCTCCATGTCCCTCCATCCAGCACGAAGAGACAAAAAGGGACACCCAGGTCTGCCTGTGTCCTGCCCCTGTCCACCTGGCCTCGTGTGAGTCTGACCCCTGCCCGGCCACCCTAGAGGCCAGCAGTGAGGGGAAGCCACATGTGCAGATGCGTCTAGATGTCCAGAACTCAGGCGCACAGCAGCAGACACCGCAGGAGCTTGAGCCCTGACCGCTCCTGTTCGAGGGTACTGCTTTCCTAGAGCCAGTCAGTAGGAGAGGAAGATGGGCCTCGTCCTGGAGCATTCCTTTCTGCTGGTGGTGGTGATGGTAGTTTTTGAGACTTGCTCTCCCTAGGCTGGCCATCAGCTCACTGTGCAGCTCAGGCTGGCCTCGAACTCACAGCAGTCCTCCCGCCTCAGCCTCCCGAGTGCTGGGATGACTCCTGTGCACTGCCATGGTCGGCCCAGCTCAACTGTCATTCTCCCTGAGTCAGCAGCTCCTGATGTGAAGTTGGTCCATTCCAGCGCTGTCACCTCACTGGAGGGACAGAGGCCAGAATGCTGCAGCCCATGTGGGGCAGGCTGGGCACTGCCCTGTGCTGTCATTCGTGGGTGGGGACGCCAGTACTGACAGAGCCCCTTGTGTTCTTTTTTTTTTTTTTTTTTTGTCTGTTTCCTTTTTATTGGTACCGGGGATCAAACTCACGACTGCCTGCTTGCAAGGCAGGCGCTTATGCCACTGAACTAAATCCCCTGCCCAGCCCCTCGTGTTCTTAGAGCCTCGGAGGGCAGAGGTGCATGCTGGGATCTGATGAGGCCAGGAAGCTAGGTCCACCCTCTCTGTGCTGCTCTCAAAAGTTGCCGCCCTGTCACACCACCCTTGCCAGTGAGTCTGGGGCTGCTGGACTTCAGGGCTGGCCATGTGTCTGTAGTGGCATCAATGGACAGAAAACCCAAGGCTGTGTGTGGGCTCCCTGGACCCCTGCTTGGGAGGGAGGAGCAGCAGTGACCCGCAGTGCCGCAGAATGGTGACAAAGGCCAGTAATCGCAGGCCTGGCCTCCAGGAGGGACGAGGAGCAGGAAGTGACAATACCTAGCTCCAGCATCACAGCTCCCCTTCCTCATCTGGGATGTCTGTGATCCCTTTAACAGCAGCCCCCCAAGGAGGCATGGCCAGTGTGTCCCTCTTTGGCTGGTGTTGCTCTGGCAACAGCACGATGCAGTTGGCACACTTTGCAGTGGCTCCTGGAACTGTCCCTGGATGGGGACTTTGTCAGAGTGCATGGGGTCACAGGAAGGCCTCCATGGGAAGGGCGAGGGGCAGCCTCTGAGACTGGGGGGACACTGGACAGAGTGGAGGCGGGGCAGGGACCCTGCAATTAAGGAGCAAAAGTGACCAGAACAAGAGAGGGCTGCTGGTCCCAATTCAAGACAATAAAAGCAGCTCGCTGTGCAAAGACCACTGCCAGGGTCAGGACTAGAGCTGCCAGGCTTGGAGAGACACTGCTGCATGCAGCCTGCTGACCGCCCCATGGAGCCCGGCAAGCAACCATGTCCCTGAGAACCCATGGGGAGCAGAGCTGGGCCGCGTGTGCTGCTGGACAGGAGGAGGGGCTGACACTGTCTCGGCCACAGGAAGTAGACAAGGAATCAGTGGTGGCTCACATTCAGGTCTTGAGAGGAGCAAGCCAGCAGCCAGGTAGAAAACTGTATGCAAGGCTGAATTGTCTGGGGTGCTGTGTATATCAGTGTTTAAAACCCAGACTTCCACCTATTTCGGGACCCGCCACTGTCCCTTAAATCAGAAAGGAAGTGACCTTGGGTTGGTGTTTGTTGAGCAGGGTTTATGACCATCCCTTTGTGCTGTGAAGGACACAGCAGTGGCATTGCCTTCATGGTCCTGTTCCCTACTAGGGTCTGGTATGAGCTGGGTCGGAGAACGGGGTCCCTTGGCCAAGCGCACCACCATGCCCAAGGGATGCCTTTCACCCATGCCTGCTTCATGGTGATTTCCAAGGGCTGCAGTAACGTCTTTTGTAAATCTGCCAGGAGTTTTCCCATTGGCCTAGGCTGTGAGTGCTGCTTAGACAGCTAACAGGCCACAGGGCAGACGGCACCTCATCCCTGTCCACCTCACACGACCACTCAGTGGGCTTCAGGGATGAGGCGTAAGAATTCCTTATCGCTCCGAGTCTTCATGTTTTAGAGATACAGCATTGTGCTTTAGGTCAGAATTGAGCACCCCCTGGTTTACATTCTGCCCCTCATGTTGGTGCCAGGCTGCCATCTAGTGGCAGTGGCAAGTGTGACAGTTTTATGGTTTCGTTGCGTCCCTGAGGCCCAGGTGGGTCTGGAGTCTCAGGAATCTGGTGGATGCATCTCTTACTGGGAAAGCAAACGGTGGAATTCAGTGCTGGAGAGAAATCAGCCAGGTATGCATGTGCTGCGCCCACTGCTTAGAACGCCACGTTTAATTCCCCCTTGCCTGGGTCCCACTGAGCCCACCTGGCAGGGGCAAAAGAAGGACCTCAGGTGACAGCCACACAGGAAGCGGGAGAAGCCAGGCACCCACAGCCTCCTTCTCAGTTTTTAAATAAGGGAAACTCATGTTTTATTTTTAATCATCTTATCCCAGTTCATGTTACTCATTTAATGCTTTGACGTGTTTAGTATTTGTCCTGTTTCCTCCATAGGTTGAAGAAAGACCGGAAAAAGATTTCACTGAGAAGGTAAGGAATTTCTCTGTGGCTCCATCTGAGGCATGCATTGATCCAGGGGGACCCAGTACTCCAAGGTGAAGATGATGGGAAGAGAGGGCTCTTAGTGTTAGTAAGATTGATCAGCGGTGAGTGACCGGGACCAGTAAGTGGCCCACCAAGCATAGCATCACTTCCCCAAGGGGTCCGTGGAGTCCTGATCCTGTGAGACATCCATGCCCAGTACAGAGCGGACCCTCAGTGCAGGCAAACCCCAGCTCACACCACCCGGGGGAGCTGAGCTAACAGACACACAGTGCCGCTGGCGCCCCGGGGGCCTGGGCTTTGGCTGCGGCTGCACTGACCCTCACACCTTGCAGGGCTCCCGCAACATGCCCAGCCTGTCCGCGGCCACCCTGGCCTCGCTCGGCGGCACCTCCTCCCGCAGGGGAAGTGGTGACACCTCCATCTCCATGGATACCGAGGCCTCCATGAGGGAAATTAAGGTAAGACCCTCTGCTCACTCATGACCTCATAAAAATCAGTCTTCAAGTTAGGAAAAAAAAAAGGACACATTTAGTCAGGTTTTGGCTCACTCTTCTCCATCCTGACTCCCTTGGAGCATGGCCTCCTGTAACACCAAGACCCCACTCAACCCACATCTCCTATGGGCCCTGACCTGTCCAGGTCCCACCAGGTGGATGTGTCTGTCCCCTTCACATCCCTGTGCACACTGGGTCCACCAGGGTAGCCGTATATGCTGGTGTGATCAGCCACGTGTGTGCTGATGCGTGTGGACGGTGGTGTATGTTTTTTGGAGTGTTTCAGACTCTGCAGCACCAAGGCCCAGCAGGTAACCTCGGGCCATCCCCCCACCTGAGGGTGCCTTTCTGTGCGGAACATGCTCTGGGTTACCTTGTTGCTTTGAAATGGTTCCTCCTCCGACCGGAACGTGGGCCTTCACCCATCTCTGTTGTGCCCACGGCACCAGGTATTTGGTGAAGTTCCCCATGCAAGAGAAAAACAATGCAGTCTTGTTTGTCCAAGTAGCTAGGGCCACTGTCCCTGAATGGGGCAGAAAGGTGACCTTTGAAGGTCACACCCTCCAGAGGACAGAACCAAGACAGAGCAGCCTCAGGAGTTGGGTTTGGCTCCTACCAAAGAGCTCTCTCACCCTCAGAATGATTACAGAGGAAGCCAGCCCACACTGGAGACACCTGAGCAGATGGATGACATTTGCCCAGGAGGACAGGGGATTTATGCGGCTCTTGGGGATGGCCTGGGATTCCCTGAAGTTGCTTTTTGTCGCCTATGTTTTGTGAGCCACTGAAGCCAGCAGAATGGATTTTTGACTGTTTTTCCTAAAATACCACATACACTGCCCACTGCCGGCCCCTGGCAGCCCCGCTGCACTTCGCTCCGCCTTGGGCTCCAGGACGGTGGAGGTGGAAAAGGTCCCAGAGCAGGCTCGGTACTTCTGAGGGCAGGCGCAGGTTTTGCCGATGTCTCCCCAAACTCTCGCTGTGTCATGCAGGGAGCAGGAGCCCAGGGTACAAAATGGGTTGTTGAATGTGCTTAGTCCTGTCCTCAGAAGCTCTTTTAAGGAGAGAGAGAGAGAGAGAGAGAGAGAGACAGAAGACGGTTATGTTCCAGTTCTTGTCGTCCTATCCTCATGCTTAGGCTGTACTTGTTGGTCTCCGCTTCCTGGTGCCTCATTACCCTTTCAGCCAAAATTGGTGGTGTGGTGCTGGTCATTTCTGGTGCTTACCTCACCCTCTAAAGCCAGTCAACAAGTACCCAGGTACTGCTGTATATGAGACAAGGCCAAATTTTGCAAAATTGTATAAAATGACAGGTGGTACACTTACATCTGAGCCTTGTAATATTGCTATTTATTTTCTTTTAATGCTTTAAGAAACAAAAAGGAAGTGTGTACTGGGACTGCCCAGATGATAGGAACGATGCAGGGGGTGAGAGTCCGCTGCATGAGGCCTCCTCCAGCCAATATTTTTCCCTGACTTTCCTCATCATTTGCTGCTTCCCAGGAGCTCAATGAGCTAAAGGACCAGATTCAGGATGTAGAAGGAAAGTACATGCAGGGCCTGAAAGAGCTGAAGGTACCAGTGTGTGGAAGTGTGTGCTCGCAGTGCTAATCCACGCTAGTGTGGAAAACCCCATGGGAGGAATTCAAAGTGTGACTCAGCCTGCAGGGGCCCAGGCGATAGGCCAGGGACAGCAGGAAGGCCAGCATGGTGCTGCCCTGTCATGAAACCGCAGCTCCCCAGGAGAAAGGTCACTAACAATTTCCCAGTGTGTGTCAAGCTCACTTCCTTCCTTCAGGCTAAAACCAGTGTCCAGACACAGGGACACTTACAGAAGGATTTTGGTCCTCTTCACCTTCCATAGTCATCACACACAAACAGGCTTCAACATCTGCTGTCCACCACGAGGGCATGGTTAACGTGTGTGCTTTGGGGAGTGTGCAGATTACCTGCATGGTGTGAGTTTTTACTGATTGAGGGGCTTCTGTCCGAATGAGTGTCACCTGGCTTTGAGTGTGTGCATGCACCTGTGCTAATGCACTAATGGGAAACAGAAGTCACCTTGATGGTAGGATGAGTAGTTGCTATGGAAATGTAGCAGGTCTGTTACTTCCTTTGCAGCACCCCAGGAAGAACCCAGGATGGAGTCTCAGCTCCATCAGAGAACACTGAACACGGGGACATACACTACTCACCTATCCATCCTTCTCAGGATTGTCCCCTCTATTTAAAAGGGGAAAGACTAAGTCTAGCTTTCAACTCATGTCAAAAGGGAACCCCCACACTTCCTGGAAAGCCCTGGACCCATCTAAAATCTTTGCCCTGGTTTGGAGTGCAGGACAGGACCATACCAGCCCCTGTGCAGCTTCTGCACAGCCTGTGAGGCTCCCAGCTAAGCCACCCACACTGCTTTCCTTAGCTCTGGTGCTTGGCACCCACAATTCTGCCTTCTCTCTTCTGGCTTCACCACCTCCCATTCCAGGACCTGCAAAGATGTGGCCACATGAGGGCACCACCACGTGTGTCATTCCCTGCTGTCCCCTCTGGGGACTGACCTTTGTCTTTCCAGTGAGGCCTGTGTTTAGTTTCCCAGTTTACCAGAAGTGTGCAGTCACTACCAGCCACTTCCTGGTTCACAAGCCAGGGCACACAGGCAGTTACCTGTGTTATGGTGAGGCTGCCACCTGTCACGTCACTGTGTCTACCAGCCACAGCCACTTACCTCATGTGGTTGTGTGAGACACCTGGTGAGCAGCCCTGACACCACGGGGGAGGCCCAGCTACTGAGTTACAAGTCCAGAGTCCCTGGCCAGCTCTGTGGCCCTCGGTTTCTGCCAATTGATTCTGCCCCAATGAGAGGATGCTGGGCTTTCATCCCGGCTCAGCTCAAAACAGATGAGAATTTGGTGCACTTGAGAGGCCGAGTGGAAACCACACGTGCTTCCCATTGTGATTATTTGCTCCCGGAAATAAGGTCTCTCTGCACTGCCGGCTGGTTTTTCTAGAGTGCCACGTCCATTTTTACTTGGGTTTCCTAATGCAGTTGCAAAACCCTGACCCTTTCTGCAGGACTCGCTGGCAGAGGTGGAAGAGAAATACAAGAAGGCTATGGTTTCCAATGCACAGCTGGACAATGAGAAGACCAACTTCATGTACCAGGTGGACACCCTCAAGGATGCGCTGCTGGAGCTGGAGGAGGAGCTTGCCGAGGCCCGGCGGCAGTGTGAGGAGAAGAGCAAGGTGGGTGCCAGGTGCTCAGGAGTCATGGGCGGTGCAAGGGTCTGTGTGTGTGTCACGGTCTCCAGGAGCCCAGGAAGCCCGGACTCCAGGACAGGGATGCCGTGGCCCCTGCAAGGACAGTTTTCCTAAAGCCGCTGTCGAATTCTGTGCAGAAGGCAGACACAGCCACGGAAAAGCCCGTGCGCTTGGATAAGCCCCACTCAGATGACTTTGTTTTCTGTTACCCCACATTGCGTGTTTTAATTTTTTTCTTTACCATCCTGGACAAATAATGTCACAGATTTTAAGAAGACTATATTCGTTTATTTTCTTATGGTTGGGAGAATATGGCTTCTCCATTTAAGAATTCAATACATCACCTGCTTGTAATCCCAGCCCTGGGGAGGTTCAGGGAGGAGGAGCACCTTGAGTTTAAGGCTAGCATGAGCTACATATTAAGACCTGGTCTCAAAAAAAAAAAAAACAAATATCCTGATATCCTGAGGCTCAGTGACGGGTCAACCTGTGTGGGCCTTTGTGTGGAACCACTGGGTTGCCCTGCTGCTGTCTTGTGGTCAGCCCGAGTCTGCATGGAGGCACGGGACAGTGCCTGGGTCTGGGAAGCCTGCAAGCAGAGGTTCTTCATGAGCCGGAGGGCAGGGGGTGCTTGTTTTTCCACATGTTTAGACATGGTTGATTTTTTTAATCCCTAATGTTGTCCATTTCCTTAGAGATTCTGAGATAGACTTGAACGTTTGAGTGTCATTTTTCTTCCTTTTCTTCTGTAACTGGCTATATCTTCAGAATCCTGAGGGTTAAAACCAGGGTCCTGTTAGGGTTCTGGTCTGGCTGCTGCAGAACCAGGCTAGAAGCTGACTGGGGTTCTGCTCCTGACAGCCGAGCTCCTGTCCTTTTCCTTAGCCGGAGGCCAGGGCCTGAGGCAGCAGAAGCAGGATGCCATCTGGCTGCACCCAGTGGCCAGCACCATAGTGTCACCTACAAGAGGCTGCGTGTGCTAGGACGAGTGCCCAGGGCAGGGGCAGGGGCAAGAGCCAACCAAGCCCAGCGGGAGGGAAGGTATCTGTCACCCTCAGAAAGGAGCCTGGCACCCAGGTCAAATCCTTTCTCCAGCAGCCCACGAGACAGACCTAGAGACAGGTACAGTGCTGTCCTCTAAGCTTCAGCAAAGTTAATTGTGGCCCAGAGCATTATTACAGGTGTGCTGCTGTGGATGAGTGTGGATGGAGGAGCTCAGCAGCCAGACCCAAGGAGGGTGCCTCACAGAGTGGGGTGAGGGTTGGGGAGCAGCTCTGACCCCTCCATGGCCCCATGGCCCCTGCCTTTCCTGCTTTTTCCCTGGAGGAAAGCTGACTACCCAGGTCAGCTACATTGGTCTCCTTTCACCCACTAAGTGCTCCTTGCCCTATTGTAAATCAAGGGTGATTTTTATCATCCTGTTCCAACCCCGGGAACCCCAGGGGATGCTGGAGCCGAGCCTGGCCCTGCCTGCTCCCCAGAGAGGAATCCGAGGCCTTGTTGTTGGCATCGGCTCCTCCTCACCCTGAGGCCACTCATCGGGGTGTCTTCACTGTGTTGGGAAGAGTGGCCCTGTGCGCCCTCTGACTTGGAGGTGGTGGTGAGGTCATTGAAGCAAGTGAGGGGCACGTGACTCTAAAGTGATAGAGGGCGTGGCTGCTTCCTCCTGCAGGAGTTTGAGCGGGAGAGGCACGCACACAGCGTCCTGCAGTTCCAGTTCGCTGAGGTTAAGGAGGCCCTGCGGCAGAGGGACGAGATGCTGGAGGTGAGTGGAGCGGCTTCCTGCGGTCAGGCATCTCCTTGGTTTCACTGCTCCAATTCAGACTGCTGTGTGGGGTTGGGGCTCAACACCAAAGGCCACTGCTCTCTGCTCTGGAGACTGGAAGTCTGAGGTCTGGGTGAGGGGCCAGGGAGCCCCTGCCTGGTCTGCAGCGGTCACCTCCACTGTGTCCTTGAAGGCAGAGAGGACTCAGAGCTTCTCACTTGGACACTAGTTGTGCCAGGGCAGGACACCCCCCCTCTCCCAGGACCTATTTAAGCTTCATGGATCCCTGCAGGCTCAGTCTCAAAACACTATCACCTTGGAGGTCAGGGCTCCAACGTGGAAATTCGGGGGACCCAGCTCAGTCCGTAGCAGTTACTCATGTTACCTGCATGTTTACAGGGACACCCCACGCATTACTCAGGGCAGCAGTCCCCTCGGTGTGCAGATTCCTCTGCAGTGGTCCTGCATGTGCCACCTTCCAAAGCTGTCCCTGTCCTCACCCTGGAAGCAGTAAACGTCACCTTGCATGGTGACAGGAGCTTGCGGATGCAGCCAAATTCAAGGCCTCCAGAGGTGACATCAGCTTGGATCAGTAGGGTGGGCTCCATGTCCCCTTAGGGGTCCCAAAAAGAGGACAAGTCGAGGGAAGAAGTAGGGGCTGGGACAGCCAGGGAGTGCAGGCAAGAAGGTTCTGGAAGGTGGGCAAGATGAGGAAACTGAGTCTTCCTGGGTCCCCAGCAGGACCAAGCCCAGTTGGAACCCCTAAGGCCCGCTGTGAACTTACCATCTCCAGAACTGGAAGAGAGCAAATCCATGTTGATTTAAGCCCTGAGTGTATGACAGTTTTTCACAGCATCCACAGGAGTCCATGTAGTTTCACTCAGCCACACGGCAGGTGTGACAGTGGTCCCCGCAAGCATATGGTCCAGAGACATCACTGCCACCCTAGCTTATGAAGGACTCGGGGTCTGCAAAGGCCACACTCACCCAAGGGCCCCTCCAGGAAGCAGCGTGTGACTCACAGGGCGGCTTCTTCGTTCCCCACGTACTCAGCACAGTGGTGACTTTCAGGCAGGCAGAGGTTCCCTCCCCATCCCTTGGAACCTTCAAGCAAGACAAGGAGAATGATCCTTGCGTGCAGGGCCTGCGGGGTCAGTGAGGTGACACAGTCTGGCTGTCCACTGTCCTGGCTGGCATCCAGGTCACCCTTCGCCGGTTGGGTTGTTTTCTTCCTGCTTAACTCTGTCTGCTTTCTTCCCATCTGTTCCTTTCCTCAGGAAATCCGACAGCTGCAGCAGAAACAGGCGGGTTATATCAGGGAGATTTCTGATCTGCAGGAGACAATAGAGTGGAAAGACAAAAAGATAGGGGTAGGCGTCCTCGGTCTTTGAAAACCTACACACATGGGCAAGCTGCCTGGCAGATGCCAATCTTAGGGTCTTCACTTGGCAACAGTGCTCGTGTGGGTGCTCATGAGGCCCCAAGACACAGAGTTCACAACCATGTACACGTCAGCTCCCTGGCCCCACCCACAGCCCTCGAGGGTTCCCCGTGTGGCAGCTGCAAAGATCGAGGGCAGTACACCCTGTGTGGCCCAGGTTCTGGGGATCCCTTGTGCCCACCTCACCTGGGGGTTTCCCTCAGAGAGATCTGGACCCACCCACATGCGGGGGGAAGGGACCCCTTGTTTCCTGCTGATGCATGGCAATAGGTGTTTCTAAGACACAGCAGCTTGAGGGGACCCCACCCCAACAATGGCCAGAGGTACAAATGTGGTCACCTGGTCCTGGTGCAGAGCCACACCGTGGCCCCCCCCTTGACAGTTGCTGAGCCACTTGTGTTTGTGTGTGACCACAGACGCCCACGATTAATGTGTATAAGCAGATTGCAGTCATTTGGGGGTCTCTTTAGAGTTCCTTTTTTCTCTTTTTGATTCTTTTTCTTTTCTTTTCTTTCCTTTTTGAGATAAGGTCCCGCTATGTAGTTCAGGCTGGTCTCAAACTCATGGCACTCTCCTGCTTCAGCCTCATGAATCCTGGAGTCACAGACTTGCACAAGCATGCCTGGTTCCTTTCTGTCCTTTATTTGCCCCTCACTTAAATGTGCGTGCCACTGCCATTAACTCTGCAACACCACAAACCAAACTAGAAAGTGAGGCAGTGGACTTGCCTCCTGGATCTCACAGAACCAAGGGGCTCTGTTTCCGGGGGCGGTCACAGTGCCTAGACAAGCTGCTGCCAGCATGGGCTTCGTGCGTGTCCTGCGTGTCCATCCGTGTCTCGGATGCAGTCTTTGCTCCCTGCCCAGGGACCTCTCCTCTTTGTGACTCTCCCTTCTCTCTGCTTGCTGCACATGCAGGCGTTAGAGAGGCAGAAAGAGTTCTTTGATTCCGTAAGGAGCGAGCGCGATGACCTTAGAGAAGAAGTAGCCAAGCTGAAAGAGGAATGCAAGGTAGGAAGCCAAAGCTCTGCTTGAGACAACTTCTGCCTCCACGGCTATGCGGTGGCCTGCGTGTCATACTCTCGCTGTTGGTGCCACTCCTGTATCAGGTTGACTGGCTCAGAGTGGCACACATGGGCCACGTTGGGGTGCTGTTCTGGCTCTCGGCTGAGTGTAGGCACAGCTCATCTGCAAGTGGCCCAGATTCCAACGCTGAGTTTCTCAGAGAGCCCTCGGGTCCCTTCTGACCCTTGGCAGAAAACGTCCCAGGGTAGACTTGGGGCGGGAGCCCTCACTTCCAAGGACTTCTCCAGCTCCTCAGCAACTGGGGTGCAGTAGGAGAGAGGCCGTGTGCTTAGACCCAGCCCTCCAGATTCTAGGAGCACAGTCCCCACCCCTAGACATGGCCCAGGGCCCATGCAGTGGGGTGGCGCAGAGAGGCTCACGGCTCTGGCAGAGTCCTCAGTGCTGCGAGGGACACATCGAGTTTTGCCCCAGAGGCCAAGGCCAGAGCAGAGTAGCCACCTGTCAGGGTACAGCTTGGAGCTGAGACGGGGGTTGGGGGGAGCAGGGCATTGGGCCAGGGCCATGGGCTGTGGAGTGGCCGGTAAAGAGATCCCAGAGCTGGCCCACAGTGAGGTTCCTGTGACCACCCCAGGCGTCCCAGTTGCCTCTCGCTTCCTTCTCCCACCTGCTTAGCCCTTTCAGACCCCGTGCGTATTTCTTTACCTCTTTCTTCCTCTTCAAAGCACGAAGCTGGGACTCTAGTCTCGGTGACTGACCCAATGCTGCACTGTGTGACAGCCCACAGGCCATCACCCCGTGGAAAGGGTGCCCACTGAAAGTGTCTTGTCACTAGAAGCTTAGGCCACAAAGCAGGACACAGCGGAGATAGCACTGGAAGAAGGCATCCCAGTTGGGGTGCGTTGACAGATATTCATAGCTGTGGTGCCCAGAAGGGCGCTTCACTGTCTCTGTGGAGTTACCCGCTACTTCAGGAAAATAGTTTCCCTTTTTATAATAATTAATAGGATAGTTGAGCCAGATACCATGGTATATTTCAATGAGCCTGGTTCCTCCCCGTCCCCCCCTCCAGAAACATGGAATAATCCTAAATTCAGAAGTAGCTACAAATGGAGAAACTTCAGACACACTTAATAACGTCGGGAGCCCAGGACCTACCAAAATGTCAAAAGAAGAGATAAACGCCCTCAAGTCAGCCTCAGATGGGACGCTAGGTAAGTGTTGGTTTTCCTTTTGATCCTCTCACCTTTCCAGTCCACACTGATCCATCTTCCATGCATTGTCAGAACTGAAGCCACGGTCACTGATCATTTACTGTCACCCAGCATGCCCCACTCCATCCTGTGGGGGAAGCTCCCCCCAGCCATGCGGTCACCCACGCGTGTTGCCTGGCATGTGTCTATCTAGTGCTCACATGGACGGCTCAAGGACACGTTTCACTGCTTCTCAGAGCTACCAAGTGGGAAGCAGTTTCACAGCAGTGTGGAGAGGGCCACTCGGTCTTGCTCGCATGCGTGCCAAGAGCGGCTTTTAACTTCCCTGTGATAGATCCGTCAGAGCTGTGAAGTAGGCCAGTTGCCCGTATGTGCCAACCAGCTAGTTGATGCTAGTGCTGGTGCTGGTGCAGATGGAGGGTGTTGGGGCATCAGTAGCGGATGACAGGCAGTCAGTGGAGTCCTGGGCAAGGTCTGTGCTGGAGAGGCACCTCCCAGCAGGAGTAGGGTACCCTGCCTGTCAGAGGGGGTCCTCCTGTGTATGCCTCACTTTTGCTTTTGCAAGTATGTAAAGTTGGAGAGTCCAGCAAATCCCAAAGTATGTCACCATCTGGAGAAATCCACTGACTAGTATTCATCACATTTGGTTTGGGGAGACCCTGGCGGTTCTGGCACGCAGCCCAGCTCCCACAGAAGCCCTATGTGTCCTGGGATCTGCTGCCTTCTTGCCACAGGGCTGGATTGAGGTGCGGGCCAAGACCCTTAGCTGAGGCAGCAGCTTCCATCTGACCTCTTATCCTTGCAGATGCAGGAACCAACAGGCCCCAGCTTCTCCAGGTTCTTGGGACCTGCTCCTCGGGGAGGGGTATCTTTATCTGTATATCTGTTCAGGAAGCAGCTCTTGTGTGTAGAAGGTGTTGGAAGAAACAGGGTTTCCACCAAGGCTCTAGAAGTCATCCCTAAGGCACAAGGGATTTGATTGTGCTGCTCTTGTCAGAGTCCCCATGTGTGGGTCTCTCTAACCCTCCCTGATGCTGAAAGAACCTCAGCACTTGTTCCGTGAGTGTTTCCCAAATAGCTTTGACTGCAGAGCCCATCTGTGAGGACTTGGGGGACCTTCCCCTTAGGTGAACTTAGTTTTAATTTATGTGCACTATTTCTTTAATATAAAACGTGCTTCACCTGAGGTGCAATAGTAGACACATTTAAAGGGTGAAGTAAATAAGGGAAGAGTCTTGGCATCACCCCACCTTCTGGGGTCAGCACCTCAGCTGTGGGACCCCTGGGTTGTGACCCATCAGGCTTTGACCTCAACCACATGGGCTTGTGTGTCTCTGGAGAATCCCGGATTTGGCTGTTCATTCCAAACTAGTGATGCACTTTTTAACTGACGAGAAATCTGTTGGGTTAAGTGGTCACCTTGGTGTGCAGCATGCCTTTCTGCTAGGCCCCTCGCCACACCCCAGGGGACACCAAGTATTCAGGGTAGACACAGGACACCTTCCCAGCAAGACAGTGTGTGGTGGTGAAACACAGATTTCTTTTTGCCACTATGAAAGGCAAAAGTTTTTTTTTTTTCTTTTGAGACAGTCTTACTATGTCATTTGGGCTGGCCTTAAACTCACTTAGGTAGCCTAGGCTAGCCTCAAACTTATAGTGATCCTCCTGCCTCAGCCTCCCTAGTGCTGGGATTGCAGGCATGTGCCACCACACCCGGCTCTGTGAGCTGCTCCCAAAGCATCTGCCTTAAGACTGATCTTGAGGCTGAGTCTCTGAAAGTGAACTGAATGTGCTTTTTAAAAACTATGTGCAAGCTGCTGTTAGGGTAGCATCCAGGTAATTGTGATGGATGTTAGGAAGGAAAACCTCGGTGTGGCCAGAAGTCCCTCTGAAGCCCAGTATTTTGGATTGTTTGGCTGCCTGGCCCAAGCTCTTTCTATTTGTTAACTTCACCTGGATAGACCAGTGCACGCCAGTGGGGCTAGCGGCCACGCCTGCCTCTGAGATGGTGGCAAAACCACACTAACGCAGTTACTGCTTTGTGGCACAGAAGTGGGCGGCTTCCGTGTCCTGCGACGTGCACACTCTCTGTCTTTCTTTTTCTTGCTCTTGGTCTCTCTCAGAACAGGGCGGGTGGCAGTCCAAGCTTGTCTTTACATTTTACTGTATATTAAGTGGCCACTGCATCCTGGGGTCCCTTCAATTCTCTCCATGGTCTTTTAGGGAGAGCCAAAGAAGTGGAGGTGGAGAATGAAATTGTGGAGAATGTGGGGAAAACAGAAATCTTGCAGAATGCTGAGCACAGACAGCACAAAAAGGACCCAGTACAGAATGGCGTGGGCGTAGAGGTGTCTGATCCTGCTGAGAACGCTGAGGGCCAGAGAGGCTCTGAAGACTTAGCAAATGCTGGATTCGAGGAGCAAGTACAGAGCCAGCATCCAGAGGATTGTGAAACTCTGGGGCAGACTGGCTCCCAGGAAGTCACAGTCATCTCAGCCGAGGGGACTGGAGCATCCCTGGGGCAGCCCAAGTGTCCAGAGAATTTAGGTAGTGGAGCCTCGAGTCCCCTCGAGGGACAGGATACTTGTAATGCTTCAGATGTCATAGAGCAAAGTGAGCAGTCTGTGGGAAGGCAGGACCAAGAGAACCAAGGTTTGAAAACAGAGGTGGAAGAGACTCACCCAAAACCATGTCAGGGATCCACTCCTGTGCAAGGACCTGAAGCTGAATGGGTGAGTGGTGCAGATCCTAGGGGGCCAGGTGAGGGCCACATAGAAGAGGAGCTGGAGACAGGGGGAGCTGCAGTGGGAGCCCCTGAAAGTCACCCTGGGACTCATCCAGTCAATGAGCTGGGCACCAGCATGGGGCACAGCTCAGAGAAGGAGCTCACCAAACAGGATGCAGCCGAGGCTGGAGAGGCCTCTGCTCAGAGTGCAGAAGTAGGCAGGGAGAACAACATGGAGGAGGAGGGAGATGCAGGAACAAAGGACGAGAAACCAGTCCAGACAGATGCACAGACCATTCCAGAGGCTCCTGCAGCCAAGGACAACCAAGAGGAAGTCCTGAGTCCAGGGAGGGCAGACCCCGATCATGAACCCAGTGAAGTAAAGAACACCCAGCAGACGGAGTCATTGGATTCATCCCAGAAGAAGTCAAAGAATAAGAAAAAGAAAAACAAAAAGAAAAAATCATCTGCACCTGTGGAAAGCCTTGAAGACGTCAGGAAAGAGCTGACCTATCAGGATGCAGATGGGGGCATGGCTCAGGGAGAGCCAGGACAGTTTGCTGGTGAAAAACCAGCAGAGGAAGCGCAAGAGGAGGTTTCCGAAAACGCAGCGCAGAAAATCCTGGCGGGAGGTGTCGAGCCTGCTGATTGTCCCGAGTGGGATGGAAAACTGAACCAAGAGGATGATGACATGAACCCGGGGAGAGGGAGTGAGGGGGCTGCCCGGGACGCCGTGGATTTGGCAGGTGGTGCCGTTCAGCCCTCGGGCACTGATGCTAGTGAGAAAGAGTCAGCGGAAAGTGTCACAGATGGCAGCGTCGACCTAGCTGGTGTCACTTCAGAGGCGGAGAATGCAGATGGGACCAGCAGCTCCCTGCTGCAAAATGAAAGCCCCTCAGGGACCACCGAGAATGCCTGTCAGACAGGAAGTCCTGAGATGTGTGTGACACACGAACAGCAGAATCAGATGGTCCAGGAAGCTGCAGGCAGCATCAGCCTAGAAAAAGGTGACTTGTCTGGGCCAACCGAGGAGCTGGGGGGCTTGGATTCAGAGAGCAAAAGCCATGAAAAAGGAGGGAACGAGAAAGGCAAAGGCAAAGAGGACTGCACCATGTCATAAGGCAGGCAGGCAAGCAAGCAGGGCGCAAGACAGGCTCCCAGGACAGGGATGGCCGCACGCTGACCTGCTGCCTCCACCAGGGCCACTTGGAGGTCATCCTGAGTCTCAGACGCATTGTGGCAGGGTGACCGCCCGGCCTCTGCTACCCCACAGTACAGACCATTACTTTTAGGTTTCTATTAAGTCATCAAGACTCATCACCCGGATCAGAAAAGCACATTTGTTTTTGACATAAGTTCAAAATGAGAGCATTCCAGGAGCATGGGTAAGGAAAGCCTGCTCCAGCCCTAGGCGGTGTAGCTTAGCATTTGCCTGAGACCAACATAATGTGACTATTCCTGACCAAATACATCAACATCTAATTGAGATGACCAAAGAGCATTCTTAGATTTCTGCTTTATGAAGATAGTGGATATTTAAGCGACTACGTCTCATTCAAATATATGTACTTTTCATAGTTGATTTTAATGTGTATGTTATAACCTGTCTGGTGTTTTATTTAAAGGAGATAAATGGCCAAGTAGCCTATAGGTCACTGAGAGATAAGATTTTCACCTTTAGGACAATGATTATCGTTTTAGAGATAACAAATATTTGAAAGTACTAGAGAGGTCTTATTTGCTTTACCTCACTGAAGTATTTTGTTTCACACTGAGACTTGAGGGTCTCATTCTCAGTGGTACCCGAATTGATTTTGTAAAAGATTTTGACTTCATACTAATGATGTACCAAATTCATTTTATACAAAGACTTTCAAAAGGTTTTTTTGGAGATGTTTTTCTAGAGTTGACCTGTTGAAACTGCATTTCCTACTGTAGTTTTGCTGGGGGGAATCACAAATTTTTAAATCTTGAAATTGCTACTCTTTGTTTGAATGTCTTATTAGTCAAAAGAGCAATATAAAAGTTACTTATTCTTGTGGAAACTACTTATTAATCTATAATTGGGTATTTTAAGTAGCTCAATCACTTTTGTTATTTTGGTACAAATATATTTGTTGTTTGTCAGTATATTGATTGGAAAATTCTTGTTTTGACCTGCGAAAGAAATATATATTTTCTATATAAAAGAGCTTTAAAAGTAATTGTAAAGTTAAATAAAAAGTAATGATAAGATATAAAATCACTCAAGAATGTACATTATGGATACGGGTGACACTCGATGAGTTGATGCTAATTCATGTCATTGTTACGAGAGATAATTGAGTGCAGAAGGACCAAAGCCTCGGTAAAACCTGAGCAAACCGAAGTGTTAGACAACTGAAATAAAAGCATTTCATAACTTCACAAGCCTGTGGTTCCGGTCTTTGGGCTTCTTGACCTCTGACCCTGCCCTGGGTCACAGCATCCCTTCACAGCAGTGTCCCCTCCTGTGTGAGCTCCCAGCGGCCCAAGAAGGGCCACTCCAAAAGCCCACTCAGCAACATGCTGAGTCAACTCCCCACACCAGCCCTGTCTGTCCTCGGGTGACCTCCCAGCTCCTGGGTGCTGCCCCTGCTGACGGCGTCTCTGTTCTGATGCCCACCTTAGATGTGAAAGCCTTCGATTTTCCTCCCTGCTGGGGATCCTGAAGAGGAGGGTGGTGTATGACGCATCCTCTTGGATCAGGCTGTGGAAACAGCAGACGAGGGGGCTGCAGGACTCCAGTAGGTGTCCCCACCACATACACTGCCCACTTCTAGAGGCCCTTGGGAAGCAATCCAACAGCCAGCATCCCCTCTTAGTTCCCTGCTGTCCCTCCATGAGAGGTCCCCAGGTCGCCCCCACCTTGGTACTCAGCAAGCCCTTGGTAAGCTGCACTGGGAATCAAGAGGCTGGGGCCTTGCTGTCTGGTGGGAAGCACACAGCTGACAAGCAGGAGAGAGTGAAAAAGAAGGGAAAAGGGTGTCAGAACAAGCGCAGTATTTCTTGACCTTTTTGTTTGGTGGTGGCTGTTTTGAGACAGTGACTCACCATGTCATTCAGGCTCCCTTGAATTCACTACTTTGTAGCCCAGGCTGGCCTCTAACTTGCAGCAATCCCCCTGCCTCAGCCTTCCAAGTGCTGGAATTACAGGCGTGAGCCACCACGCTGGGCTTCATCTCCTGACCATTTGAGAGCCGTCTGCTCTGTATGCAATGTGACAACACAGTAGCCTGGCACAGTAGCCGAGAATCACAGGATCGGTGAGCATAGGTGTCCTTGGTGTAAGGAGGTGTGGGAATATCATCAGAACTCCAGAACGGCTTGGGCTCCTGTGTTGCACCCATGGACCCCTTCTGTGAGAAATCACAGCGTGCAAGGAGCAGCCAGGGCCACTGAGGCACAGGACCACAACAGGAAGGCTCATCCCGAATGTCCACCTGGGTCCCTGGGAAAGGGAAGTGTGCTTGTGAGCGTGTGATCAGAGTACTTGCATTCAGTCTGATGACACTGTGTATATAGAAAAGTTTGTTTTGGGAGGAAGACCCTTCTGTTTGTCCTTCCCCCTGTACTGCCACTCTTATGTTTCTTTAAATAATTTTGTTGATGAATATGTTGCATGATAAAATATATACACTTTCAGTGTACAGTTTATGTTTTTCAGTTTTTATTTTTTGTCCATGTTTGCAGCACAAGCTGACCCCATTCCTCATGGGGAGCTTTGTTTTCTGTACGTCCCCCACACCCATCTTGCCCCTTTTCATCTGTAAAAACTCCTGTCTTTCCTGGTGTCTGTCTTTCACTTTGCTCTTTACACTTGGAGTTTCTGAGACCCATGGTGGGAAGAGCTGGTGACTGATATAAGCACCCATCTCTCATCTACTGACCCCTTGGGCTCTGCAAACACAAGAAAGAGATGGCTGAGGCACCTTGGTGGAACCTGGGGAGGACAAGCTGACCCAGGATGCCCACTGCTCCCCAGGATGTCCTTGCATCCTGGGGCCCTGAGGGCTGAGTGAGAATCCAACTCAGGAGTGGGTGGTTCTGAGCCAGCCTGCCCTCCCAGGCCTGCCTTTTAGGGTTTCAGGGAGGTAGGATCTGGGGAGGGCAGTTAGAAAGTCTGTGCTTGCTGACTGTGGCTGTGGTCCACCCTGAGTGGCCCCTGGTGAGCTTGGAGGTACAGGCTGGAAAGAACAGGGGATCAGAGCTTCCCAGCACCAGGGAGTGTGGCCACCCCAGGAATTCCCTAGAAGGCCTGTGTTTTTTGTTTATCATTTGTCTTGGTTACTTTTTTCTCATTGCTGGGACAAAATACCCAACACTCAAAATGAAGGAAGGAAATTTATTACAGTTTGGGGGGCTTCAGTCAGCTGGCTCCAAGGCAGAATGGCATGGCAAGGCAGCCATTCATGGCTACAGCAAACAGCAAGAGCAAAACACGTGCCCTTACGTTGTGTGCCAGCTCCACCCCTGGGTGAATGCAGCATTCACACCACCAATCCCAGTGCTAGACAACAACCAATCACAAATACCAGACTCAGCCATGTCCATGATTGCATGAGGCTTGGGGGTGGGGCATCCAAACATAAACCATAACACTGTTTCATGGGTCTCTAAATCATATGACTAAAGGTTTGCTAGAATTTAAGTTACAAGAAACAGATTTTTAAGTGTCATTAAAATATCTTCACTAGGCAACGGGGATTAATTTCCCAGTATAAAAGAAAGCCTGTTTATACATTGGGTGCTACTATAAGTCACCATGTTCTCTTGTTAAGGGTCACACTATCAGTGATGTGACTCTGTTTACTTGCAGGTTTGGCTCTCTAATCTTGAGCTGTGAAAAGTAGACCTCTTACTTTCTCCATATCAAATAACTTGCTTCTGTCTTGTTTTCCATTTTCTGAAAGCTAGTTTGTGTTTTCCTTGTCAATTCTGTTTTAGAATTTATCTTCTTTAAAAGTTCCATTTCTCCCTAGTTGTTCATAGTCTTACCATAAGACTACAGATCAGATCACCCCCACTATCTGCTATTATATTTTAACATTTATTTTCCATTATTTTCTAGCATATTTGGAGTCTTCTAAAAGAAAAAGTAAGAAAGATAGGGGCCAGGGATTTAGCTCAGTGGCATAGGCAACAGTCTGGCAAGTGCGAGGTCTGTAAGATCATGAGTTTGATCCGTAGCACCAAAAAAGGGAAAGAAAGAAAGAAAAAGAAAAGAAAGGTTACAATAGCTAGAGATGTGAGCTTCAAGATCAAGTTGTGATGTATTCATTGTTTCTTGTAATGTCTAGAGTTTTTTATATAGGAGTACAAAATGAAATCTAGAGGTTAAAAGTGATACTGGATAAAAGAGCTGGGCTTATTACCCCCTCCCCCATTTGGTGTGTGTGTGTGTGTGTGTGTGTGTGTGTGTGCACGCGCGTGCGCACACGCGCACGCACAAACATTTTAGTGTTGGGTGGGCTTTCAGAAGTAGAACAATGCATGCAAATTGAAATGGGATTCCATAGGACCATGGTTTGTTATGCTTACAATTTTCTGTTGTCTTACTTGGTTATACTGTGCCTTTCAAAAAACAATTCAAGAGATCATGTAACTTGGATCAGGATGCGGCTAGATTATTTTAAAAATGAGAACAAGGATTTTTTTTAAATTTTTAATTTAAGGATGGGTTTTGTATGAATCATTTTCCAGGTTAATTATTTCCTCTCTGTGAAGAACCTGGAGTTCGGAGGTCCCTCAGGAGTTAGCCCTGGGCCAGGAGCCAGGGTCCCATTTGGAGGGGAGGGGGCATCTGGAGCACAGTGGTTGGGGCCCCTGAGGCTAGGCTGTGTGGCCTTAAGGAAGTCACCTCCTCCCTGTGAAGAGGCAGGGTGTGGTGACAGCCACCCAGTGGAGCCTGACTGGCCCGAAGTTGCTAGAACAGTGCCTGCCTGTGTGGAGGGCTGCGTGGAGGTGCCTCGGCCTTCCCCCCATTGTCATCCTTAGTTTTCCTTTAAACAGGTATAAACCCTCCTCAGGCTGGGTTCCCCCTCTGAATCTAAAGGCTGTAGCACTTGGTGTTCCCACAAACGCACAGATGCTTATATAAAAATGTAATTGAAAAATAGGATGAATGTTCGGTTTTTTTTAATGTATTACAATAAAAGACACAGGGCCATAAATCCCCCTGAAAGTCTTCCCCTTCCTGAAGACACGTTTATCCTATCATCCTTGCAATTTCCTGCAGCAGCTCTGGACTCCTCTTTCCTAAGTATCTTTAATTGAACTGTCATGGATGCCTCCATGTCCTGAACTGATCCAAAACATTCACCTTTCAAGGTTTCTTTCACTTTGGGGAAGAGCCAACAGTCATGTGGTGCAAGATGCAGTGAATGAGGCGGATGAGGACACACTATCATGTCTTTAGGAATCTGCCTTTCCTTTGGATGGCACTTAGCAGTGGCATTCACTGTATTTTTGGTCATGCCTTGTGAAGACATTCAGGGAAGAGGACTTCCAGAACTGCATCAGAAAGGGATCAGAATGGTGGGATGAGTCTATTCAAAGTGTGGGGGTATATATTGAGGCAAATTAATGGCAATGTGTCTTTTACTGTATTAAGTAGACATTCACCGGATATTTTGATCACCCTGTGTCTGCACCCATATTTGCCTGGGGTGAGAGGGGTTTCAGAAAACAAAGCAGCCACACTTTTCTTTTATGAGAATGGCAGCTTTGGGTTACTGGGTTAGCAGACGTGGAGTCCACAGAACTGTGATTTGTAAGCGTGTGGTCAAAACACTGACACTGATGAGTCTAGGAGAGAAATGAGAAACCTGAGCACGCCCAGGTATAACCTGAGAAAGGAAAGCTATTTAAACATTGGTGCTAGCCAGGCATTGTGGCACAGGCCTGTAATCCCAGCACTCTGGGAGGCTGAGGCAGGAGGATCACAGATTCGATCTCAGCCCTGGGCTAGGTTGGAAGCTCAGTTGGGGGCACTGGGTGAAATCCTCAGTGCTGCAAAAGGAAAAGGAAAAGGCTGGTGCCCCTGCATCCTGACTGTGCATTATGCTAATGATGTTAAACCGTGAAGCCTGTGAGCTCTTGTGTTGCAGTGTGGTTTGCCTAGCGTACTTGCATGCTAGCTAGTAGAAGATTAGCTGTTTGCATGAGCCGGAAGCCGCTCCTGATGAAGCATGTAGGGGAGGCTGGCACCACTGCTTCCTGAGTCCTCCCGTCCTGTCTGTGGCCTCATTCACCATGGTACGTGTGTAACTACCTTCATCATTCATCCCACTAACCCAGCGAGCCTCCCGGTTAGCGAGGGCTGACCGCGCCCCACACATTCACCACAACCTGTATCTTTCTCATTTCTTCAGATATTAGGTTCAAAAAGC